GCCCCCAGCTACAGTAGTGCATGGATCATGTGTAATATTCATCCAGCCAGAGGGAATGACCATGTACCATTGCTGTCACTTTGAAGTGAAATGAAGTTTCCTTTTTACGTCAATTTGAATCTTGGCGAATAGTGAAAATATTAGACACTTTCAAGGGCTGTAACTTTACAAAAACTACATCAGATTGCTCTGATATTGACAGAGGGTCACCCTGAGGTGGTCTGCTATCACTGTGAAGTGAAATAAGTCCGTGGAAACAGGAAGTTTCCTTTTTACATCAATTTGAATCTTGGCGAAGAGTGAAAATATTACACACTTTCAAGGGCTGTAACTTTACAAAAACTACATCAGATTGCTCTGATATTGACAGAGGGTCACCCTGAGGTGGTCTGCTATCACTGTGAAGTGAAATAAGTCAGTGGAAACAGGAAGTTTCCTTTTTACGTCAATTTGAATCTTGGCGAAGAGTGAAAATATTACACACTTTCAAGGGCTGTAACTTTAAAAAACTACATCAGATTGCTCTGATATTGACAGAGGGTCTCCCTGAGGTGGTCTGCTGTCGCTTGAAATGAGTTAGTGGAAACAGAAGGTTTTCTTTTTACATGAGTTCGAATCAGCAGAAGCTCACTTTTATTTTGAAATGTGCTGCGACACCATGTTACCATAATGCCTAGGAAAAAACACGCATCGCAAAACAGCGCGAGGGCTGGCTTGACTGTCGTTTTCGAAGTGGAGGCTGGCTTGACTTCAGTTGGCTACCCCGTATTTCGCACAATGGTTTGGAAAGAGCCGGCTGTGTCAGCGAGTTGATGAGGGACGTCATCTCACTACTGACATTACGCAGAAATGCGTTTTCCGCTGAATTGAAGGTGGTACACACAGGACAAATGCAGCAAGGCAATGCTGATCATTTGAGGACATCACAACAATCAATATGCCGAACTGTCCACACATTGTCATGTGTTTCATTGACTTCCCAACAACATCCCTCCTAATCCAAACACAATTCATGCAAATAACCAGCTTCCACGGAGTAGTAGACACAATTAATGGCAGTCTTATGAAGATCAACTTTTTTATCTTTCATTTCCTATGTGTACATCATAATGTATTCTCTTACAAATTCTTTACTGTCAAATGTCTGTTGAATGTAAACTCCTCTAAGGAATTTCACCATTCAATATGAATTTATCTGTGAATATTATTAAATCTATTCAGTGATTGGTCCTTGGCTACATCGTCATCCAAAATCCTGTTTGCGGCACAGCAAAGTGTCGTGAATCTGACACTTAAGATGTAGTCCTACACTTCACTCAAATTAGGACTTTGATGCTTGATAACTAACTTTTAAGCACAGCTTTGAGCCAAGAATTCTTTTACTCTTAAGTCAGTTCTTAGCAGTGTTCTTATGAGTATTCTGAGAACCTTGATAAATACGGGCCCTGGATTTTATCTAGGACTCCTATAACTAAAAGACACAGAGAGCAGAGAAATAACTTTGCTCTGTAGAATCAATTAACCAACCATGTAAAGAGAATATGCAGTTTCAAACATGCTGATCTGGATGCAGGAGAAACAAACCCTGAAATAACAAGGACTGTTTCTTTACATGAAGAACTGTGTATGATACTTCTACAAAGTAGGAGAGACCAGGTATGGTTGTAACACTTTTTGCTTCAGCAAATATAATTCAATGAATTTTGCAGCTTGAGTTCTCAAACATTTATTCAAACTAGCCTACCCACATTTGTTCACTAAAAATGGCACTAATTCAATCCTCTACAAGAATATCGCAGACCTCGTGAGTTGATGTCAAATGCATTGTGATCCCTTGTTACAACCTACCCCAATACCAGGGTAGTTTATAACACATGCAAGGGTACGTTGTAATAATAAGAAAAGAAGCAAAAATAGATGCCACACCATATGATATGCTTCAAAATAGGTAGTTATATAAAAGATGTTTCTCTCTCACTGTAACAGACAGTCTGGTGACTCGCGCGCATGTACAGTAGGCCTATGTTTATGTAAATTTATAATAAACTTACTTAACAGTATACTTAATAAATACAACTAAAATGTACTTAATTAAAGAAGATCTTTGTACATATTTTAAGAAAAAAGAAGGGTGTGTCTGTGTGTGTCAACCTTGGTGTCAATGTGTGTATATTCTTAATCAGGGTCATAGTCAGTGCTTGAATTGGGCCCGACCTCCCTGGTGAGCAAGACCATCACTTCTATATTTTACTATGTACCGGGAGTTTTTATGCGCACTGGAATTTCTCACAAGCTGCCTGTACACTTCTCTGTCCTCTCCACCGGCAGAGACAGAGTAGGGAAAAGATCGAGTGCCGATATATATGCCAACATGTGACTGTGAAATAATGGTCACAGTGCTGACAAATGAATGCTGGTAACCCTGGACTGCAGGCTTGGTAGGCCCAGACTGCAGAGCATTAGAAGTATTACAACCCACCCCACCCCTGTCAGCCAAAGTTTAGCTAGCTGTATTAGCATAGTGGTTTGAAATTAGAAAGGAAAAAATGCATCACATGTTGGCTAAGAAACTACATTTCAATCTAATATAAGTCAAACAATTCTATGTGCAATTTAGAATAGATACTAAACAAAATATAGTCTTAGTTAAAAACTGTACTCTCTTACCTCAAAATCTGTTTTTTCTCTATATATTCTGAATGTACCCATTTCCAGACTTGATAACCGCCATGCCTGATCAGGGTGGAAGTAGATAAATACTGAAATGATCACCTAACTTCTATCTTATCACTAAATGGTGGAATTGGTGTTGTTACAACTCTCCCCATGTTACAACCATACCCGGTCTCCCCTATGTCTCACCATTGAATGGCATGACGCCTAACAATTTCTCAGCAGCATGTTTAATAATGTGGTACACGCAGTTTCATTAGTGTAGGCCCTTGCTTTCAATTACATATTTAAAAGAAAGAAAACTAATTTCTTGTTGTCTTAGCCTTAATGTGAATCAATTAAACAGGCCTAAGGTTACTTGATTTTACGTATTTCTGTCCTCACTGCAGTTGTTACAGCCTGCAGTTGTGTTTAGACTCTTTGAATAGCAAACGAAACAGGGAAAGTCAATATGCATTTACACAAGAAATGAATTATTCAGAGCTTACAAGAAGACAAAAGTGTAGGTTAGAAGGCTAAATCTCCATCCCCCACACCCCTCTCAGGAAGGAGACGAGGCAGACAAAGGAAATTTCTGTGATCCAAAGAATACAGACATCTCTGACATATACTGAATCGTGTACTGGCATACAATTCTGTACCAACTCATTCCTCAGTGTGGAAGTTATCCGCTAAGAGCTCCTAAATCACTGCGACCAGATTAAAGAAGTTGCTCTATTCTACTGCAGTACCTGTAATTCCTAATAATCTCCAACTGGTCTTCCTTTGACTCCAAAACTTCTTAATTGCTGAAAGATGTTTAAAGGTGATTTCACTGCTAATTATTAAAGTTTGTCTGAATAGTGGTTATCTGTGTTTACACAACTTAATACGGCTTGCCAAAATAATAAATAAACTGCATCATCTGGTCTCAGATGGTTCTCACTACAGTTTTTGTTCAATGCTGTGTTCATATTGTTCACTCATGGCTGCCATTATCTGTTGATTTCTGTGTGTCTAGTAGTTATTAATTTATGTAGTAAGTGGATTATTGTTTTTGTAGTTAGTACTTTAATAACATTTCATTTACCAAGCAACTTGGTTGTATGTGATTTGGATGTATGGAATATGCAGGTCACTGTACACGAGACAAGAACTCTAAATTGATTAATGGGCTATTGAGTTTCCCTTTTGTGAAGGGAAGGTGCCCAGAGGTGAATTTAGTTATTTAATGTAAATATTGATTTATTCTGAAAGTCTTACTCTTACTCAAATTAAAGGCTACTTACTATTACCAGTTTAATGCATTGAAGCCTTAATTCACTACACTGTTAATAATTAATATTGTGTATTATTTAATTTGCTAATGATAAATTCAATTCAATTTTATTCATATGGCATCTATTCATAACAGAAGTTATGTCATTGCACTTCTCATATAGAGAAGGTCTAGACTGATCATTTACATCGTGAATGGTTGACATGAAAAATGCGGAGTTTCTATGAAACACACATCAACTATGCTTAGACTCTGTAGCTTAAGTGGATATTTTCATGAAACAGACAGAGCCACACTAACACTTTAACAACAAATTAACAAAGTAAACTTTTTTTTTCAACTCCCATTTTCCAGTTGATTTGCTGTCAAACAGAAATGACATGACATCAGTGGTCACCCTGGCAAAAACAAATAAGGTAAGAAAACAGCCATAGTCACGGTGCCCTCTTGTGCAAACTTTGAAATGGAAACTAGTTCAATAATATGATAAAGAGACAGCATTAACATTCACTTTCTTCACAAAATTAATAAATAGCCTTGTTACAAATATGGGAAGACAAAAATTATCCAAAACCTACAGTAGATTCTATCTAAGTATGGAGCATGACAGAAATGAATCAGTTTTCTCTCTAAGCTAAATAAAAATCTTACGATTATTTTAACGTTTGAAGTCTCTAATGTCTCTGAATTCCTGAAGGTTTTTAACAACATGTTTCATTTTGATAAATTTTTTGTCTCTTTCTTTTATATGTGAAATAATACCTACATATTTGCAAATAAGAGTACATAGAGCAACTGCCAAAAAAAGGTAACATTTTCAAGCAAAGTAAGGCTTATAGTAGGAGTTTCCACCTAATGTATTACTGCATAATAAATTATGAGACACAGCAAACATTTTGAAACACACTGATTAACTTTCACTTGACATATTTGTGGAGAACAAGGTCAGGTGACCCTAACTTATCATCCACTGATACACATCTTGTCACCCTAACCTACAAAACCAAAGTTTGTTCAAATCTAACTCTAACAGAGTGTATTGGTCAAACATGCCAGGGATCATATAATGTCTTTGTGACATCCTTGTTGGACTTTGTCAGCAGAAATGTCCCTATAAAATGGTTGCCTGTGACTGCAGACACTCACAGCCCCATCAGCCATGAGAGCGGTTGTGCTTTTCCTGACTCTGGCCCTTGTGGGTGAGTATGATTTCTGTTCTCTTCAAAGGTGTGACTTGTAATTGAATGCATTTGAAATGGTATTTTTCTTATTCATACAGTAACCTAAGCGTGTATTTAGTAACTTCTCTTATCCAATTTTCATACTTCAAAACAATTAACCATACCTCTCGGTATAACTTTTTACAACATAATTACATATATATTATTTGATACTGCCAGTAAAGTAAAATAAATAAAACATTTGTTTTAAATCTAAATACCAGCTAGGAAAGAGGAGTATACTTTTATGAAATATAATGGAAATGTATTTTGTTCACTCTTAATTAGGCACCTGTAGCAAACTCCATACTGTAGACTGTATATTTTATGCTTTTAAGTTCAGTGCAGGCTAACTGGTAGATGTTTTTCTTAATTTAACGTAAAACTTCAACTGCTTTAATACAAAGGTTTAGGCCTTTGGAGGAACAGAAACAAAAACAGAGAAGGCAATCTATCATTACTAGAGGTATGAGGAGTAAGAGATAAACAGTATAACAGTAACTGTAGCTGTATACCGTACACAGTATCTTGCATGCTCTATGTATGTGTTTGATTAGGGAGAAAGATCTCGACCTTTTCGATTTAGATCTAGTTCATTTACATTAAAAACAAAATCAACCATTTGTCATGTTAGCTCCACCTATTCATTATTTAGTGTTTTAATTTTTTTAATATTTACAATAGAATACACAAATGCTAAAATGTTTAAAAGTAGATTTAATAGTTAACAGTATCATTTACTTGCTGGATAATTTATTTATTTCTAATTTCATTCCAGCTGGTCAATCCCATGACTTTGGTAAGGACAGTTTCCATTTTTTTATAAATAATAAATTGAAACATAATAATAATAAATCATTAGATAAACAATGCATTGCAACCACAGTTAAGTTACATGATAGTGAATTATTCTGGTAAAATAAATTTCATTATGTATGGTTCAAAAGATGTGATATACAACTCAAATACTTTGGTGGATGTTCTTATAGCTCCTGATTTTGCTGCCGGTAAGACTTATGTGTACAAGTATGAGGCATTGCTCCTGGGTGGTCTGCCGGAGGAAGGTTTGGCAAAAGCCGGGCTCAAAGTCAGCAGCAAAGTTTTAATCAGTGCTGTAACCCAAAAAGTATACATGCTGAAGGTAAGGATCACAATCATGTTCAAGCAACAATCTTTTTACTTTTAAACTGCAACCTGCCCTCTAATAAATCTTTTTTTACACTCTAGCTTGTGGACCCTGAGCTCTATGAGTACAGTGGCATATGGCCTAGGGATCCTTTAAAACCAGCAACCAAGCTAACTTCAGCCCTGGCAGCACAGTTCACGATTCCCATCAAGTTTGAGTATGACAATGGTGTTGTGGGAAAAATGTTCGCCCCTGAGGAAATGTCAACAACAGTGATGAATGTATTCAGAGGTATCCTGAATATCCTTCAGCTCAACATCAAGAAGACACAGAACATCTACGAGTTACAGGAGGTTTGTCAAAGATCAGTCAGTAGTGATTATAAATCCATTACGGGAAGTTGAATCTCCATAGTAACCATATGCTTTTCTCATTAGGCCGGAGCTCAGGGTGTGTGCAAGACCTTCTATGCCCTCACTGAAGACGAAAAGGCTGATCGCATCCTTTTGACAAAGACCAGGGATCTGAACAATTGTCAGGAGAGGATCATGAAGGACATAGGAACGGCATACACTGAGAACTGTGCAAAGTGCCAGCAGGTTGAAACCCATTTTGTGTCACACATACACCTACAAAAGTACAAAATGTTGCATGATTAAGCAACTATGTGGTTTGGCTTCACAGAATTCAAAGAACCTGAGAGGAGCTACTGCATACAGCTACATCTTGAAGCCAGTTGCTCGTGGAATCATGATCCTGGAGGCAGCTGTCAATGAGTTGATTCAGTTCTCACCTTTCTCTGAGAGGAATGGAGCTGCTCAGATGCAGACCAAGTATGTCAACAGATACTGGAAATGTAATAATGGATGGAAGAGTTTGAATTTAATGGTGCTGCACATTAACCTTTTTCGCATTACTTTCAAGGCAATCGCTGGTCTACCTTAAGATTCAGAAAGCCCCTATTGAACCCATGGAGGCTCAGTATCTTCACCGTGGATCTCTAAAGTATGAGTTTTCCACTGAGCTTCTTCAGACACCCATTCAGCTCATCAGGATCAACAATGCACAGGCCCAGGTATCGTTTTAGACAGCTTTAAAAGATCAGTGAAGTCAGGAGCGAAGATATGTGAATCTCTGTCATATTAATTGACTTCCCCTTCAATCCTGTGTTCTTAGATTGTGGAGATTCTGAATCATCTGGTAGCCAACAACATGGAGAGAGTCCACGAGGATGCCCCTCTGAAGTTTTTGGAACTCATTCAGGTCGCCCGTGCAGCCAGCTCTGAAGACTTGGAAATGCTCTGGAGCCAATACAGAACCAAACCTGCCTATAGGTGACCTAAGAGTATTTAAACATTTGAAGGAGATGAATATATATACATATATATATAGTAAAGTAAAAATTTTAAGTAAGAATAGACATGTTAATAGACCGAACTTATTAATTAACAAAATGCAATGTGAATGAACAGAAACAATCTAAATCAAATCAATATTTGCTGTTACTGCCATTCAAAACAGCATCAATTCTTTAAGGTACACTTTTTCACATTAGTGTATTTTGTGGAGGGATTTTCCTTACTTAAGGGTAATATTACACAAGGTTTCCCATGGTCACAAAACGGTCATTTGCAGATATATGTATGCAGGTTCACTCACTCTGTTTTTATCTTTCAGACAGTGGCTCTTGGATACAGTCCCTGCCATTGGAACTCCTGTTGCTCTAAGATTCATCAGGGAGAAATTCCTGAACGATGACCTGTCTGTTGCTGAAGCGGCTCAGGCCTTAATTGCATCTATTAACATGGTGACAGCAGACACTGAGGCCATCAGGCAGGTTGAGGTGGGTAAATAACAAAGCAAGTTACTTTGTCAGTAATAAGAATGAAAAAGAAATCAGAATAAAAAAAATTGTGATGATTGGTCTCTTCTAGGCCCTGGCAGCTGACAGCAAAATAGTGAAAAGCCCAGTTCTGCGCAAGATCGTCCTCCTTGGCTATGGTACCATGGTTTCAAAACACTGTGTTGAGAAGACCGTCTGCCCTGCTGAACTTATAAAGGTGATACAATTTATTTCTCTTCACATTAGTTCAAACTTACTTTACTTACACACAATTCTGGAGTAGAAGAAGAAATCATAATTTCTCATTTCCCCCAACAGCCCATCCAGGATCTCCTTGCAGAGGCTGTCGCTAAAGATAATGTCCAGGATATCATCATGATTCTCAAGGTTTTGGGTAACGCTGGCCATCCCGCTAGCCTTAAGCCGATCACAAAAATCCTGCCCATACATGGCACTGCAGCTGCATCTCTGCCCATGCGGGTCCATGTTGGCGCCATCATGGCCTTGAGGAACATTGCAAAGAAGGAACCCAGAATGGTGAATTCTTAAGACCAAAGAGTAGTTCAACCTTTTCTACTTTTCGCACACAAGTTCATCCTGAGTTTGCTTTCTCTTGTAAATTAGATCCAGGAATTGGCTCTTCAACTTTACATGGACAAGTCTCTTCACCCAGAGCTTCGTATGCTTGCATGCATCGTGCTGTTTGAGACAAGGCCTGCAATTGGTTTGGTGATATCTCTTGCCAACATTGTGAAGACAGAGAAGAATCTGCAGGTAGCAAGCTTCACTTATGCTCACATGAAGTCCCTGATCAGGAGCATCGCCGTTATCCATGCCTCAGAGTAAGAGCCCTCTCTGATCTCCATTTATCCTCAAGTCTGTCTCCATTTACGAATGTCTGCTTATTCTTCTCTTTTATGTTATCACTGCAGTGCTGCAGCTTGCAATGTCGCTATCAAAATTTTGAGCCCAAGGCTGGACAGACCAAGCTTACGTTACAGCAAAGCCTTCTACATGGACATTTATAACAGTAAGGCCAATGTCACATCTGGTTTACGTTACTTCGTGTTTCTTTTTTTCTGTAGCATCTACTAACTGCATCTCATGAAACTCTTACAGGTCCCTTGATGCTTGGTGCTGCTGCCAGCGCTTTCTACATCAATGATGCTGCCACCATTCTGCCCAGATCTCTTGTGGCTAAGACCAGTGCCTACTTTGCTGGAGCTGCTGCTGATGTTCTAGAGGTAAAAGGAAAAATAAAGGCCTACGGTATTCATAGAGTAATTTAAAATTATGTTTTCAACATTATGAATCATTCCTAGGTTGGAGTAAGGACTGAGGGACTTCAAGAGGCTCTTCTGAAAAACCCTGCAATTATTGACGATGCTGACAGGATGACCAAGATGAAACGTGTCATTAAGGCTGTAAGCAATTAAACACCAGAAATTTGCAAATACAATGTGGTTATGTTCAGGGTTTCCTGGCTGTATTTCTTTCCATAGCTTTACATATAAAGCTATAAATTGAAGAAGATTTATACTATAGTCTTAGTCAAAACTTTGTAGGGGGGCATGTCACGGAACCCTCGCGGCAGGACTAGGACCTCATTATTACAAAAAATGTGGCTATGGGCCCACATACAATAGCATATGATAAAACACAGCAGTTTATTGCTGAGTTGGATTGTGTGTATTTTTCCATAGCTCTCTGAGTGGAGGTCTCAACCTACCAGCACACCACTGGCCTCTGCTTATGTCAAACTCTTCGGACAAGAAATTGCCTTCGCCAACATTGACAAAGTCTGGATCGACCAGGCCATTGCGGTATGATTAACGATCTGTCAACCTCAAGACCAATTTCATAACAAATTGTTAAATCACCATTTTTTGTAAGACACAAATAGTTACAATCAACTTTTCCTTACAGCTCATCACTGGACCCTCTGCTCAGGCATTAGGTAACAATGCCGTCAAGGCTCTGCTGTCTGGGGTTTCCTTCCACTTAGCTAAGTCTCTGCTGGCCTCTGAGGTGAGGCGTATCCTGCCTACTGCTGCTGGTCTTCCAATAGAGCTCAGTCTGTACACTGCTGCTGTGGCTGCTGCAGATGTTCAAGGTAGGAAGAAGCTAGAAAACACCCACAATTTAGCATTTTACAGGCCACAAAATTTACCTTGTGTTAATCAAAAAAGGTGCTGACTTACTCTTGTTTTATCATCTATCCCAAATCCTTTCTTTGCAAATTTACAAAAGCTATCACGTCACATTGCCTTTCCAAAGAAAAAAGGAAAATATGTGCTTCGCTTTAATAAAAACAACATTGAAGCAGTGATAGGACATCCTGCTAAGTGGTGATGAATGTGTTTATTTGTTTTCTTAGTCAAAGCCACCGCAACACCAGCTTTGCCAGAAAACTTCCATCTTGCTCACCTTCTGAAGGCAAACATTCAAATTGAGAGTGACATCAGACCAAGGTCGGTGCAAGGTCTGATACTAAAATAAAGATGACCACACAATATATCGTATTATGGAACGTAACATCAAAATGTCCTCTGATTCTAGTGTTGCTGTGAATACATTTGCTGTGATGGGAGTAAACACCGCCATAGTCCAGGCTGCTGTGTTAGCAAGAGCTAAATTCAACTCTGTTATGCCAGCCAAAATCGCTGCAAGACTTCACATCAGTGAGGGCCACTTTAGGATCGAAGCTCTGCCTGTTTCTGTGCCTGAACACGTTGCAGCTGTGCAGTAAGCCTGACATTATGAGTAGAATTTCAGTACACTGAAACATGACACTTCTAAGATGTATTTATCTTTAAAGCCTACGTGATTAAGTTCTTGTTCTTTGACCAGGGTTGAGACTTTTGCTGTGGTAAGAAATATTGAGGATCTTGCTGGTGCAAGAATCACTCCCATGATCCCTGCCAAAGTCTTGGAGCACGTCTCACGTGAGACTGCGTCATCTGCTGCTAGTTCAGTGAGTTTTAAACATTGTCTTTTAACATAGCTACAATATCTACATTTACAATATAATTAATATGTCTTTCTTTTCATAGTCAATATCCTCAGGGATCACTCACCAAGATGCAGCAGCTGCCAGGCCCATCATACAACGCAGAGTAGCTAAATTTGAGAAGAAGTTCTGTGCTAAAGCTGTTGCCATTGGAGTTAGGGGTTGTTTCATGGTTACCACTGAAAACGCTAATTTCATCAGGGACATTGCACTGTACAAACTGGCTGGAAGGCACTCTGTTGCTCTTTCTATCAAACAAAGTAAGTATTGAGAACACAATATATATGCATTTTGTAGAAGCAGTGTGCACAAAGCAATTAGTAATGGCCTTATTTAATGATACTTTCAGTTGAAGATGATGCCATTGAAAGACTCCAGGTGGAGGTTCAAGTTGGACCAAAGGCTGCAGAGAAGCTCATCAAACAGATTAACCTAAACGAAGAAGTTGTTGAGGGAAGACCAGTCTTGATGAAGCTCAAGAAAATCCTGGCTCCTCGTTTGAAGAATGCCACCTCCTCCTCCTCCTCCTCTAGCTCAAGACAGAGTTCCAGTTCCTCTTCTTCCTCGTCCAGCTCCTCGTCTTCCTCTTCCAAATCCTCTTCCTCCTCTTCCCGCTCCAGCTCTGCATCTAACCTTGAGTTGCTCTTCAGAGCTAGCTCAAGTTCCTCTAGCTCTGAAGAGAAACTCAAGTTGCTCTTCAGAGCTAGCTCAAGTTCCTCTAGCTCTACTGCTCGTCAGGTAAACACCTCAAAATTGTTTTCTGATCTGTGTCTCCATTTCATGGTAAGCGTGGAATCTGACAAAAAAATCTCTTTTGAACAGCAAGTGCTTCATAGCCACAGGTTCCAGAAGAACAATAGGAAGCAGGTACATTTAGATGGGGCTTCAAACAATGACAATGTAGTACCAGCATTTTCAAGGTGGTCTTTAACCTCCTTACATTATTGTTTTAGCCTCACACCTCCCGATCCACCGCAACAGCCGTTTCCAGAAGCAGAAGCAGTGACTCAAGCTTTGAAGCCATCTACAGAAAGGTGAATCTTGGTCTTCTTTAATAAATTAATAAAAATTCATATCTTTTCACTGACGAGTTTGTTAGCATACTCACATGAATTAAACCCGACTGTTCCCACAGAACATATTCCTTGGCAATGAAGTTGACCCTAACATTGCCATCATCTTCAGCGCTATCAGAGCTGACAAAAAGATGCAGGGATACCAAATGGGAGTCTACTTGGACAAAGCGACTGCCAGACTTCAGATTATAATGGCTGCCTTGGCCGCTGATGACAACTGGAAGTTATGCGCTGATGGAGTTCTGCTTAGCATGCAAAAAGTCACAGTAAGACACTGCCTTGCTGATATGTGGATATTAGCACATAATATAAAAGGGCTACCATTAAGACTAGCTGCCTACTGTCTCTCAATAGGCTAAAGTCGCCTGGGGAGCAAAATGTAAGCAGTACAACACCATGATCACAGCCGAGACTGGTCTTGTTGGTCCGAGCCCTGCAGCTCGCCTCAAAGTGACCTGGGATAAAGTACCCTCTTCCTTCAGACGCTATGCACACAGGTATGAAACTTCATACACACTGACTTTAACTATTTACGTGTAAAAGGACTATGTAAAATGTCTGACACTTGGAAATTCTTTTACAGGGCGTATAATTACATTCCTGCTTCCGTGATGGCTGGCTTGATTAAAGGAAAGGATGAAAACAGAGCCAAGCAGCTTTCACTTACAGTGGTTGCCATATCGGACAGGACCCTTGACGTCATTTTGAAAATTCCAGTAGTATGTTTAATTAAATAGTTCTCCCAAAATATGAAGTCATTTTTGTTTTAATTCCGGCCAATAATAATTGTGAATCATTCTGTTCACAGAATACTGTGTATAAGATGGCTTTGCATCTTCCCATTGCTCTGCCACTTGATGGAATCACAGGTCTCACCCCCTTCGATGACATTGCTGATAAAGTCCATTACTTGTTTGCAAAGGCTGGCGCAGGTAATGGATGACCTTATTGTTTAAAGTGAAGTGCATTGGCAGTAAAATTTGGCTGTGTGCCTAATACTATAACTTTTTTTCTTCAGCTGAATGTAGCTTCAACAAAAACATACTGACCACATTCAACGGCAGGAAGTACAAGAACGAGATGCCGTTGTCTTGCTACCAAGTTCTGGCACAGGATTGCACAGATGAGCTGAAATTCATGGTTCTGCTGAAGAATGATCACATTGAACAAAACCAAATCAATGTGAAACTTGCTAATATGTGAGTTTCCATAACAACAAAAAAATAAACTGCAGTTTTCATCCATCCACATCTTGATAAATCTACATTTCTGCACTTGCAGAGATATTGATCTGTACCCGAAGAATAGTGACGTGATGGTGAAAGTCAATGGAATGGACATACCCATCAACAACCTGCCATACCAGCACCCCACAGGTTTCTATACACATTTATCCCACCCTTAAAATAGGAACATGTAATTTTATGCTGCAAACTACACATTATGGTCTCAAATGTGTTACATGATTTGCATGTAATGCCTCTTAATGAAAGTAAATGATTATGAAACAGTTATTTTTTTCTTACAGCTAACATCCAGATCAGGCAAAATGGTGCAGGCATCTCTGTGTACGCTCCCAGCCATGGTCTTGTTGAGGTCTACTTAGACAGGAACTCATTTATGGTAAATGCAACATTAACTCTTACGATAAATATGATTGTTATAGCATAAATTAAATCCAGGCTTTAAACAGTGACCTCTGAGAAAAGAGATAAACGTCAAATTTCAAGAGCTATGACACTGTTGATCAATTTGACAGACTCTGTATATTTGAAAGTCTATGTCTCATTTGATCTTGCCATGCAGGTTAAAGTTGTGGACTGGATGAAGGGACAGACCTGTGGACTCTGTGGAAGGGCTGATGGGGAATTCAGACAGGAGTACCGCACACCCAACGGACGAGTGACCAAGAGTGCAGTCAGCTACGCTCATTCCTGGGTTCTGCCAGCTGAGAGCTGCAGGGACTCCACTGGTGAGACAAAGTTCATTGTGGAATTACTTTTACTTTACTTTTTTTTTAAATGATCCTCCTGCTCTTGGGTCCTGCTCACTGCATATGGCTAAAGGAAGTATTTTAAACATGTAATGATGCACTGAATCCATCAGAAATTATTATCAGCAACATCTTCTTACAGAGTGCCGTATGAAGCATGAAACTGTGAAACTGGAGAAGCAGGTTAACGTCCATGGCCAGGACTCCATATGCCACTCTGTCGAGCCGGTGCTGCGCTGCCTGCCCGGCTGCTTCCCTGTGAAGACCACCTCCGTCACTGTTGGCTTCCACTGCCTGCCTGCTGGTGAGTCTGCAAGATATCATAGCTGGTTCAAGAGACAGAATATGAAATGTAGATAAAAAATACAGAGTTCCTAATTGCTCTGCTCCCTTCACATGTGCAGGTTCTGCCCTGAATCGCCTCAACAGTCAGAGCAGCACCTACGATAACAGCGTGGACATGAGGGATGCAGCAGAAGCCCACCTAGCCTGCAGCTGCACCACTCAGTGCGCTTAATGACACTCACATCATGTGTACTTGTTGAACGTAATTTTGAATACAAACAAATTCATAAAGTTATTTTCAATTATGGCAACTTCATAAAGAATTACTTAAAGGAAAAATGCACAACATTATGATAAATGTCCCTCGATCCTGAGCTTGGCTGAATTTTGGTGATGTGAGAATGGTCAGACCACATTATAATAATGTTGAGATGTTGCTTTTGTGAACAACTGAAACTGTTGCTTTTTGCTTTTAATGTAACTGTTTTATACCATTATTGCTAAATAAATAAAAATGTCAATGTTGCAAAGAATTCAATCAATTGGATTATTTCTTCCAATTTCAATACATTTCAGTATTTCCAAATACTACTAGAGTTGATTGTGGTAAAAAATAAGGAGTTTCCGTCACAATATCCCATGACCACTGTGTTGAGTACATTTCCTTCATAATGTACTTTCCAGCTCCATAACATCACCCATACTTGCAGAGATATTAATAGCAATGTTTGCCAATACTGCAACACAGTTTCAGCTCCAAAACATGCAAGAGCAAGACTGTTTGAAAATGACAAAGCCATTTATTACAGTACTCACCTCTTTGCTGGACAGTCCTGTTGAACTGCCACTCCACTGTGTGGTTTACCTCAGTGGTCTCCATTTTTATAAGTTGACACCAGTGCATTGGAGGGGACAGGTGAAGCAGTTCTGTTGACGAGTAACTCATTTTCCACGAGAGGCCAATAAAGGTCAAATGACAAGATATTTGTGTTTCGAGAATGTATAATGAGTGTTTCAAGAGCATAAGATTGTCTAGAATACATCATGTCACATTCCTGTGTTAAGAATTATTCTCATCTGTCAATATGAAGCCACTAAAATAAACACATTCACTTAAAAAAGAAATGGAGAGAGGAATTTACATTCACATTGACACCAGAGTCGTCTAACCTGGTGTCAGCGTTCTACTACACATTATGCTATTTGTGTTCAACTTTACAGCCTTTCTTCCCTCTTAACTGCAACATCATACATCACCCACTACTAATGTAACTGCAACAGTTACTAGAAGACAATGTTATCAACTACATTTCTATTTTAATATATGATATGATATTTAATCCAGTTTCTTATTGCATTCAGTGAAACAGCAGCATTAAATCTACATTCTAAAACATTGTGCCAGTTCCCAAGTTCAACATGATAAAATAAGCTGAAAAGCTGTGATATAAATGGCAACATTTAGGCAGGTTTAGGTGCAACAGTGACCAGTAAAAAGGGTCAAGCAACATCTCATTACCGAGACACATGATCTTTTGTGGCACAACTGCATTGCCAAAAAATACTAGCTTCAGACCTAGATTTAAGATATGACTACACGATTAACAGTGCTAAATAAATAAATAAATACATTTATCACATAGTTAAATTAATAAAACAGTAAGATAATAAAAAAACAACTACATTGATCATTTTCTTTCAGTCACACCGAGCACACAACACAAGCAGCTAACCAGAACTCTTGTTTGGCTTTGACTGTTGCCATTTAATCATTTGACAGTCTATCGGCAAGTGTTTGTCATTCACAAGCCAGGTGTATTTCTGAAGTATCACATATTCGTCCATAATAAATGGACATTAACTTTATTTCTGATTCACATGATGAAGGTTTTTTGCTTCATATAGAGCTGTTCTTTTCCTTTGTGAGTGTGTGGCGGCTGAGGTCTTCACTGTCGTTCCACTGTTTGTGCTGAACTGGAACATTTCCATTAAGAAACATGGATTCCTCAACATGTTCAGTCGTTGTCTTTGGTTTGGTTGAGCTGGAAATCAAATATGGACAACCAGTTAGGTATACACAATAGCAGCATTCATTTACAGGTACATTCTTTCATGATTTTCATTATGTCATAAATTGCTGCACAAATAATGACACCGTACCTGTTTTCTGGGTTAAGGCAAAGTGTGCGATATAGGTCGGCTGTTGATGGCGATGTGAGTGGCACACATCTGGGTGAGGCTGTGTCAGGCGGGCATTTGATGAGCTTTTCTGGACCTGATGCACTACTCACTTTTGTTTCAGCTGTAAAGACAAGATGAAACCTTGTTGATCCTGGTCAGGAAATTGATTTAGTTATAATTTAATAATAAAAGCAGAAAAAAGCAGTATAATATAAACCCAAACTGTAACTCAAGTAGAAAAGTACAAAAATAATGATAATTCAGTGAAATAAAGCTGCATCAGAGTTGTGGTATAGAAGAATATTGTTCAGTTGTTCATTTATAACCTATAGTATATAGTACAGAGTATCATTATCATTCAGTTTATTAAATACAGTTATTATTCAACAATCCATTTTGGAAGATCAAAAAAAAAACAAAAAAAAACTACACAGTATGTATGTGAACTGGGCCAGTACAACACAAAGGACAGACACTCACATATTAAAAAGGCACTTTTAGACTTTGAAATCTGGGGTTTCTTTGAGTCAGCAAATGGACTCAAGTTTAAAAACTGGTGTTTGAGCCACGTCGCTCGATCCTCCTCAAAGGCCTTCCTCTGCAAGTTAACCAGATACAAGTCATCTCAAAAACAGTCCCACTTTTGTGGTGAGCACACAGATATCAGTAATCTCTGCACACAGAGAAAAAATTTCTGTATTCCCTATTTTGGAAACAATATGTTTTATAAATCACCTCGTGGCTAAGTCTTATAGCTGCTTCAGTGAAGTTCCTTCTCTCCCTCTCAAAGATCTTTCTCTGTTCCTCTAGAGTCGTCCACTCTTCTCGGAGGCGCTCCTTCTCCTGCAGCATGTAGCAGTCGCTCAGCAGGGATGCCGTCTCCTCATCACATGGAGAGCTCAGCTGCTGCTACAAGAAAAAGAACGGACATTGTTTGTTCAGCCATGATTTAATAAAAGGAGTGTTACACACTGCAACAAACAAAATACAGTATCTTCCTCCAACATTTAAGTGCTCAGTTAGTGTAAAGTAAAACTACAATGGTCAAGCATGATAGACAATGTTAAAGGTCAACTAATGTTTAAAACTAGCAGTTTAAAATCTGCAACTCTTACTCAAAATTGATTGATTGTCTTAGCAATGTGACACTCTTGCCAGTGAATTAATGAACTCTCCAGGAAGCTTAATGGCAGAAATATCAGGGTAAATTCAGTCTTACCTGCAGGAGCTGCTGTTGTGTTTGAATAAAGTCTCTGCACTGCTGGATCTCCTGCTTCAGTCTTTCCATCTCCTCCTCATGAGTCTCTCTGGAAACTGCATCAGTGTTTTTACTCTCGCCAAAATGAGCTAAAGAAGCTGAACAAACAACCCAAAAAAAATGTAATTTAACAATTAAGTTTACATGCATCTTCTACGTATTGATTTTAACGGAAGGCACGAATCCAGTATGGAATGTCATTGGAAAATTTAGTCAGTGGTTGAATTGTTGCTTCAATACAAATCCTGATGTTTCTTGAGTTTTAACAGAAACAACTCACAAAATTTTAATACAGCATTTTACCAGTTATCAGACAAGTGGATTCATAACAGAACGTAAGCATGCTTCAGTTGCTCTAAGCTTGAACAAAGTTCCATGTTTGATGACTTATGACTATATTTTGTCACATCAATGGTACAAAAACACAGCCAATTTTAAGACACTTTGTTTGGTTAGAGAGGAATCCAATTCCACATGACACAAAGTTAAATTCCTTCATGTATCAAACAGCGACAGTATGCTGCATGAGGACTACCTTGGCTGTCCAATCGTTCAACGTGGCTCTTGAGTCTCCTCCACTGGAGGCGAATACTGTTGGTCAGCTTCTCCCGGGCGTGAACACAGTACAGCTCCACGCTTTCTTTAGTGGAATCAAACACTTCCTCTTCCTCCTCCGAGTCAGCCTGACCATGCCGATGAAAATATTTTTCAATCTACTGGTGGCACATCTGGCAAATCATTGTTTTTAGGAATATTTCCACCTAACATGGTTGATAAAATACTGGCAGCAAAGTTGGACAAAGTGTTTTGAGTTTAATAATCCTTGGTAAAAGATCTACTGTATAATGTCTACATGCAGTCCAACACTGCATATATTCAACTTGAGAAATAAATGGGGAATGAAGTGTGACCAGTCACTTGGAATGAGAGAAAACAGAAGTCATCTTATCCTACCTGTATGCCATCATCTTGTTGATGTTTGTCGCCTTTATAAGTTGGTTTCCTTGAACTTAGAATGGACACAATGTCTTTTTTCATCTGCTGCAACACTTTCTTTAACTCTGCATTTTCCAGCAGCAGCTCCCTTTGTCTGGTGTCATAGTCACTGAGCAGAGTCTTATACATCTCCCCCTCATGCCTTGGGGATGAGAAAGACAATCATTTATGTTACACACGCACACGTTATAAACTCATGTACATAACACATCTACAGAGGAAATTCTTTAAAGCTACAGTAACTTGCAGGATTCAGCAGCACGACAATGTCTGAAGCCTATGTTCCTAAAATAAATCTGTGTCACCTAGAAAACTGACAAAGGAGCTGATGTGCAACTTGCTTGAGATGGACAAAAGTAGTATGAGTAGTACTTTCTCGGATGATGCTGTTTATTCCTTATTTCTGTTTATTTACAAATACAAAACACAAATCTTCATAGATACTGCAAAATGACTAGACAAAAAAGCCATACAGTAAGAAGTGAACTTACTTTGCCTCTGTCTTTTCAGTTTTCCAAAGGCTTCTCTTCCCATCAGCTCTTCCAATGTTGTTCAATACATCAATGGCTGGAAGCAAGAACAACAAATGAAAAAAGAAATTAACAGAAATTAAAGAGTCTCAAATGTAATGTAAATTTTAATCTTGTGTTTAAAGAGGTTGGTTTCATTTTAAAATGTTAAAGGTTGGGGAAAAGACTGAGGCTAAATGGGGTTTTCATAAACCTTGTTTCCTCTCCTTTTTGTCAACCAGAAGTTGATTCAAGCGCTCCTTCAGCTTGTTAAATTCTCTTTCTTTCCTTTTCATCTCATGATTGTACTGGCTGGCCCGGCTGGCAATTATGTTCTGAAGTTTTTGAACCTGGCAGGGGGGAAATAAAGTGTTTTCTAAGAGAACATGCCTGTGGATTCACTCAGTATTGTCTGGAGGCAGTAATCCCAAAGAAAGTACCTCTTCTTTTTCATTTTTCAGGCAGTTTTGCAAACTCTTCACTTTCAGCTGTAGCTGTCGTTCTCTCTCAAGCAGTCCCGTGTTCTCTCTTTTGGACAGTTCAAGCTGCTCCTATGATAACAGAACAACATTGGCATGGACATTTAATATGAGAGGTAATTTTTTCAGTACTGACAAGCAACTATTGAGGTGCTTAAAGTGTGGTTACACATCTGTTATATTTTTATTTGAATACAATATTAATATGGAGAAATCACTGGTTTTCGATGTTACTGTACTTTTAGTTTGGTGCTGGTGAGCTGCAGGGAGTCCACATTGCTGCTGGACTTAAGCTGCTCCAATTCCATGTTTTCCAGGGTTCGGAGGTCTCTGCGGTGCAGCTGAATCAGGTCGTACATGCAGTTCAGCACAGCCACGACATTCATCTCTGAGCTGCCGCCTGACTCTGTCCAAACTGGTGGCAGGCCAAGAGATGACACCTCCTGTAAAAAGGTGGGTAAAGGGAGAAAAAAAATATAGAGCAACGGATGTTTAAGACCAGCCAGACTGAAACCCATGACACTGCAATCATAACTTAGCCATCATAGATGATTAGACACAAGCATTTACATATCAATAACTGTGCAAATAATATATCAAAGACACATGCAAGGTTACCAACCTGATTGATGTGTGATAGACATTCTTGCACGTTGTTCTCTGTGCAGAAGGTACTGAGCATGAAGGACTTTCTGTGTAGTGACAGCGATGATTGGCTAAACTGTCTCAAGGGGGATGTTCTACATTCAAGAGAGCTCCTGCGAATATCCGTGACTTCGGGAGGAAAGAAATGTACAATAAATATACAGTAAAATAAAATACAATATGTCCAATGCTAATTTGTTAATGCAAATAAAAAAGGACAACACTTCAAATACAGTAAATGTTACATACATTGAGGTTACTTTTGACACAAAAACTAAGAATAGCATTCATCTGCCATTTGTGTTAGTTTAACCTCTTCCCAACTCACAAGGTTTGATACAAAGCACAAGAAAGAGATCAACATTACACAATAACCTACACACACAACTGCTGAAGGCAAAACACTGCAGTACTGTACTTCAGTTCAACTAGCTCATGAGGATGCCAACATAAAGTTAAAATCTGCAAAAAATCATTGTACAGTTTTTGAGACAAGGTGTTGATGTTGAATATTTTTTTTGTTTGTTTTCTAAACAACTGCTGAGTACAACAACCAACTGTTCATTCACAGTGCATATTCACTGGTCTTCAAAGACATCAAAATCTAAACTCACCCAGGGAGGACTCGGGCATTGTTGCAGTGCAGCCTTCAGGCTATGTGACTGGATCATCTGCTACATGTGCAGGATACACAAAGCTCACCACAAGATCCACCTACGCACTCTGGTCCTGAAATAGAGGATCAGATTAGCAATGCCAATTCAACACAGTCTGGAGTGTGCTCACAGCCATCCTATAGATTATAAACAATCTTCAAATAGAAAATGTGTTTACACTGTCTTTTATGAAGCTTATTATGATTGTTATGTTGATCTTGTTGTTGCTGTTGTTTAGTATTACACAATTGACACTGCAGGAGTATTTAACAGGTTACAGGATGGGACAAGGCCAGGATCTTATCTCAATGCTCTTATCATCAGCTGATCACACTAATCCCAGACAGACAGTGTGGGGATTTGTCTGCAGAACCACACAATCAGAAACATGATGAAAACATTTTTCGTCCTGTGGGAATAATGCCTGTTTTCAACAAAAAGACAATATACATATATTACTGAAAACGTATAGTCTCGCGTACGACAACTCATCCTGGAACAGCACACGAGCAAAAGTTGCATTTAAAAAGAATATTTATTTTATGTAGAACATTTTTTAATTTTTCATTCCTTTCCATCACAGGAACACTGTGACTCTTCATTAACTCAGGGGACCTACCCTTTGGTTTCAGTGATACTTAATCAGTCTGGTGGGACAGATGGCGAGCCAACAGCCACACAGCTTAACAAGCTGAGACCCTGCTTAGACTGACTACTCAACAAGTGTTAACCTTTAACTCAATCGTCAAACTTCTTTACAGAATAAAATCTACAAAGGGAAAACTCCAAGTAAGCATTTAAAAAATGAACTTCAAGGTTTGTGGTGATTATGAAAAATATGTACTGGGAATCGGATCACAGGCTAAACTGCCCACACTCAGTTTCTAGGTAGACCTACAGTAGCTAAAACTAATGCAGTCTAATACAACAGCCATGCAATAAATCCTACCTTAATAAAGGTTATAACGTTCAGTTTTTCACCCTCATTGATGCAAATGGGGTGAGCAATAAAATTTACACACCTCTCAGTACAATGTTAATGCAGTACAGTTCACCTGCACCACAAATTACAGCCTCCAAAATGACCATGAAGCTGAACCCCTATCTAAAGGAAGGAGCAAAACTAAACATTATACACTTTCATGAAGGTAGGATTTATTGCAGACTGTTGTATTAGATTGCATTGTTTTTGGCTAGGAGTACCTAATAAACTGAATAAATAATAACAATATATATGTATATATATATATATTCAAATAATTGGTTTTATAAAATTAACTTTTTTGTCCACCAGCTAATGGCTAGTGAATGTTCAAAGAGTACCAGACACTCAATAGATTACCATTGTTTTATGGCTGGTGAATGAAGTAAATCTAATGTTACCAGCCATTTGTAGATTTTACCAGCATTTGGCTGGTGACTGGTGCTAATTTTGCACTCTGAATGTAACGTTAACGTTATGAAATGTAACTTTAATGTAAATCTAAGCAACTCTCTCATTGCTGGGACTGGTCAGAAAAGGTTGTAAATACACTGAGAATATTTACTACGTTACCTTACTTGCTAGTTACTCTACATGCTAAACAAATGCTAGCTTGGGTCACATTAACGTTACAGTTAACATGAAGTGGACTGCGAGTTAAGCTAATTACATACAGACAACCGTGGAAAAACCGTGGAACAAATTTAACGTTAGCTAGAAGTTATGTTGATGATGTGAGTAATAACGTGTAACCTAGTACTCACTCAATAAATCGTGTTTTGTTCATAACGTTCATAAGCAAGGCAAAGATCCACAGCAGACAGTGTTAAAGTAACCACACGTCCCACCGACTGCCCCACCTCCTCACAACAACATGGCACGGAAGCCGAACGACTGGCTATTTTCTCAGCAAAACAAGTTGACTAGTTATGAAAAATTGGCGTTGAAAAAGAAATGAACAGCAAAATGTTTCGGGTACTTACTTAACGTTTTAATTTGTAATTTAGTTCCCAAATGCTGCTTGTTTCTCGACGCAGCAGCTCCTTAATCCATGGGTCCAAATGACAGTACACACCACTGCACGCAAACCAAACAGCACGCTAATTGGCCGACTCGTTGTCTAGCAACCGAGCACGGCTCAATGTGATTGGCCCTTTACTGTACGGCCGTTCAACTGCAATTGATTTTTTAAAGTGCCGTTTTAATTATGCCGGTGTTATTGTTTAAAACACTCTCATGGAGAAGGTGTAGAATATTTTTACTTTTGGTACCATGACCTGATACTTGGGACTGTGGTTACTATTAAATAAGCTACTGTAATTATGGGGCTATTTTCAGAAATGCCAGCCAAAGTCATGGGGAAGGAGCAAGCCTTCAAAAATGTTTTATGTTTCTGATATAATGCAGTGAACGTTATGCACTGTATTTCTCTTCTATTCAGCATTTGTACCCACATATAAAGGAGACTTTATTCAAAAGTATAACTTCAAAGTAACTTTAATGACATTTATACAATCACAGAACATAACACAATACCAATAACAATAATAATATAGCTCATTAAACTGCATGTCTTACACAGACTACTACATACTATATTCTTATTTTACAAAAGTAATGACTTTATTTGGCTACATCTGTGAGTATAAGATCTATTCTGCATCAACAAGGCATGCAACATTTTGAAAATTCAAGGCAAACAACATTATTTGGAAAACGTAAGTAGCTTTAATGGAAGAGTTTGTTTCCAAAGTAGGCCTACTTGTACACCCAGTTTGAGGACAATTTTTTTTTCTCCACATGGCTTTGTTTTAATTTCCAAAGAAGCAATGCCAGTGAGAAATCATGTGCAATACTGGGGCCCTAATTGGCAAAAATAAATGGAAAAAAGCAAATATCAAGTACAATAATTACACCTGTGCTTCTCCTGCTTAGACATACATGTAACGTCTGCTGTGTAAAAGGCAACTCTATCAGATGCCAGTTCTTTGTCAAAATATTTGAATGTAAGGAATCAGACAGAGTTTATCTTTGACTCTGATGAAGACACAGCAGCATTAAAACATTAGTATGTTTGCACAATTAAATGCTGCAAATGAATCAGTGTGCTGAAGTCTCTGTTTTTCCCTTGGGAGTTCTTTGAAAAGTTTTTGTTTTACTTATAAGAGAGGGTTCTTTTCATTTTCAAGCAGTAAATATCTCCTTTACTTTTAATTTATCAGAAAAGTCACAAAAATGCCTCACATTGCAAAAATACAAACAAAGCTATGAAAGCTATGAAAATAACCTATAAAAAATAATTTGTGATTACCTCAACTCTGGCATGTTTCGGTGCATATTTTTTTACATTCTTCCCAACTACAAATACATACACAATTGTAGTAAAAAACATATTTTTGTAAATATTTTGCATTTATTTCTACAAATTATTATCAGAGGTGTTTGCTTGATGACAAACACTTTTGAACACTGGTAACATCTATTGGATTTACAGTTCAGTATGACATTTAAATGAATGATCAACTATTTGTTCATCCTATCATGGTATCTGGGCATTTAACCCCAAAATAGCTCAGTGTAAAACAATTCAATTGCACGACACAAAGCCTGACCAGTTTTCATACAGTTGTTTTCCCATTTAAGCCTCCATAAACCCAGATCTAGTCACTAACTGGCACTGGGATTCCTCTGAATCGAGGTGTTCTAAGCAGTGGGTCTGTATGATCATCTCTCTTTGCTTCAAGCCACCATGTTGTCATATCCCCCTTTCCCTGTTGGGTCAAGAAAAATGAGATACAGGGTGCATGAGAGAGAGAAGAGTCGTATTGCACAGCATGTGTGTGTCCCTTTGAATTTTAAATAAAGCCATTAGGGTCTGAGGGGGGCACAGAGCAGCAGCTGAGGCCACGTCTTAGCAAGACATCACATGTGTCAGCAATGCATGCCTTCTACCTTGGGACTAAGAAGTAAACCCCTCCCCCATAATTACACTTGCACCATCCAAAAAGAAGTCTTAGGTTACAATGCAAATAGAAGCCAGTAGAACTGGATAATATAAAACTTTTCTGGAAAAGAAAGCAAATGCCAGACACACCCAGTCTCTTTTCACTCAGAGGGAAGTCTTAAATTTCCTGTGATCTTTTCGAATCTCAGCCTCATAAATCCTTTGTCACTTTCAGTCACTTGGATTTGATTATCGTTGCAGCTGGAATTTGCTGAACCCAACCTTCTCTTCAGTGTTTTGTGTCGAGAAGTATGTTTTCCAAGTACAAACTAAGCTACAGAACTGCTACAGGAAGTTCAACACACGATTGTTCTGCAGATGGTTCTGGATTTGCCACTACAGCCTGTGTAATATCTCAACTTTCTTAGACACAGGTTATATATAACATATATTTGAATATATGAATATAATGTTACCTTCACAGAAAGTGTTCCTCTGCATGTCAGAATGTAACCTCTGAGTGTGTGAAGCAGGTTAGCTGTGGCACCACTCACCTGGATCTTCAGTGCTAAAAAAACACACAGCATGTGATATCACATGATAATATGAATAATGTGTGCCGTGTAGCATTTCTGTCTTTTTGCGTTATCTTGGTGCGTCATCATGTGCAAAATGTACTGCACGTTTGTACTCAACATGTACTCAGTTTTTAAAACTTTGTTAAAAGAAATCAACATTATTTGTATGACACATTTTGCTGCACAAATATTACATTTCAAACCAAGTTGGCCTATTTGACCTAGTATGAAAAAGATTAATTAAAATTAGTATGTGTTGTAAAGTGTGAAACAAAGTATCATCATATATAATTTACAGTATATTGTTATATTATTGATTGATTGTGTCACATCATTGTAGTCACTTTAATACAGATTGCATGCAATATTTATAATATACAATATGATTGGTATCTATAGCTTAGTACCCCACATGTTACAGCATGACAGTCATGTACTAAAAATTTTGTGCTATACTAACTTTCATAATACATAATACAAAAAATACAAGGCGGGATAATATCTGTAAGGTATGTCTGTAGTGTAAGACAAACTGCATATACATGTTTATATACCTACCAAGTATGTATTTGGCATATTTTAAAACATGACCCTTATAATTATTTGCATAGTGACTTGCAAAATGTACTGTACTGCGTGCACAAACCTCACTCTAAAATTGGGATGACTTAGCTTTAGCTTCATCTCATATTTAGTTTAAAATTACATTTATCGCCTACAATATGGGCCTACAGTCACTCAGTGCTTTTGCTTTTCCATTATCCCACAAGCTTAATGCAGAGGATCAGGTGCTTGGTGAGCACATTCTCCAGTCCAGGTGAGCAAACACAGAGACAATCCTGTTTGGCACAATAGGAGCAGCGGCAGCACAGGCCAAAGGCTGATTCTGAACTGCCATTGAAGCCAGTTACAAGAATACTGCAGATGAACTCTTGAATCAGTGCAGTAATACAGAATACACAAGTAATGTTGGAAGGTAAAAATTAAATTAACCTAAGATTTTCTGAGACCAACTGTTCCACTTTGAGACATTAATTGGATGACAGGCAGTGTGTCTAATCCTTCATTACCTTCACTTGTTGATTCCATGCGTGACGCTGTGTTGACAGTGTCTCCAAATAGGCAGTAGCGAGGCATTTTCGTGCCAACCACACCAGCCACAACAGGACCTGGCAGAATAAACAGCAGTGATTGTGAGTAATAGCCTACTTGTGGTTGATAACATTGTATACCGTAAAAATGTCAATTGAAAGCAGAGTCCCAATTAGACGCCTGTCCCTTTTACTGGCCTGGTGTGGCTACACATTGTGACAAAAAAATGCAGGTTTCAATTAGACGCCTGGTCTTTTATAGTTATATATATGTTCTTTGGATGTCTAAAACCTCTTGAAGCCCACCAGGTCGCCCACTGGAGCTGGTCCTAAGCTGCTACATAGCATATACAAATATGAATGTTACTTATGTCCATATGGAGATGCTACACATCGTTAGATGGAATGAATGCGCCACAATTCAGTTGTTCAGTTCATTATAGGGGAACCATGAGCACCAAAGTACAATTCATTCAGATTTACTGGCATGATATGCTGAACAAGAAAGACGAAAAAGAAGTGGTGGTTCCCTTTGAAGAGGTCATAAAGTCAAAATGCGTCCATATCATGTTTATTTATATTATATTATATTATTATTATATATTTATAAAAAATAATCCATGTTGAAATAACTACAGTAACCTTTGTTTTTTCCTCCTTACCTAGGTAGTCCGGTATTATGATATAAGGCTGTCTCTCTGAGCAAAATCAAATGACTCATCAGTCATTTGATGATAATTGAATTGTTATTTGTTTGCCTAATTTTTATTAAGTAAGTAATTAAGTAATATTCATATTGGTCTAAATAAACAATTTGATAGTATCCTTTTTCCCAGCTTTGCTGAGCAAGATTTTTGTGGTAAAGGAATTAAAGGCCTGTCCCATAAAGACACCTGTCCCAAATATAGGCAGGGTGAGATCACTGATTAAAGCAAATAAAAGCCTGGGCTATTAATTTAAGTTTTATGGCATATGACATTGCAGAAACATGATAATGTATCTGCGGAAGAGCCAAGTGCAATATTCAAATCGCAGAAGCTGCAATTTTAAGGTAAAATGTGTGACAAACCAGCATTATAATGAAGTATTGTAATGCTGCAGAGATGCTCCGGGCTACAAATCCTGTTCTCCAGATGTAAGTAATATGTTTGTTTGGTACAGATTCCAACAAATGTCACATCATCATGATTGTAATAGTTCTTTCAGTGAAAATGAAAATGGTGATCCAAATACGATGTGATCCACTAATTGCGAATCACAAACCCCTGTTAAATCTGTCAAAATTATCAAAAAATTGGTTTTGTACAGAGGTCAGGCTGGACATGTGTTCAGACACCTTTTTGAACCAAGCCATTTTTTTTACTTTATCAAGTATGTCAGTTTTTTACTTACAATACATATAATTGATATTGTCAAACTTTAGTGATGCAGGGGTGGTGGACTGCCCTCTTTTATCATGACCAGACCTTATTGAAAGTATTGTATTAGCTATGGTCCTGCGTGTGAAATAGTACACATTTTTGAAAGTTTAAATTCTTATAACAAATTATTACCTATATATGCTTACAGGTTGTTCCCTCTGTCACATTCTGCAACATGTAACCTTTTTTTTTAACTGGAGCACTCTTTGACTGGGACATGGTATGTAGTCGGATAAACTAATAAATTGATGCTGGATACAGATTAGATGTCTACAGTACCTGAGTGGATGCCAGCTCTTATCTTTAGCTGTGTGTTGGGTTTGTGGGGGATCTTAAAAGTGTGGCAGACACTGACCAGATCAAGAGCCATGCTGGCTATCTCTCCAGCATGATTGATGCCATTTTCTTGAGGGACCCCAGAGACTACCATGTCTGGATGGTTAGGCATTATTTCATGAAAAGAGACAGGAAGAAGGAACAGGAAGAGGACGAGAGAGATGAACAGATAAAATGTCAGAACACAACCAGATACTCCTCCGACAGTAAATCAGTTATGGTTTTGGCTTTTGTATCATCAATTGCAGTTGTTTATGTGCCTATCTTTCTTTTTTTTTTTATCCCTCTACTGTTTTGTCATTATTTTCAAGATGAGAAAGAGTTTTTTTATGGTTCTTCATCAAAATAATGTATCACTTTGAGTTTATTATCCTTACTTACAAGCATCGCCTATTGTCTCCACTTTGTAGACATCGTAATTGTCAATAATGTCATCAAAGGTGGTGTAGAGCTGGTTGAGGAAGTTCACAACCTGGTGGGGAGTGCTGGCACTAGACAGCTGAGTAAAGCCGACAATATCACTGTCACAGGGGAGTAATACAGTGTTAGTCATCTATAGTTCTACAAATGATCTTTAAAAAAAAGTAAAGTAAATTGCATGAGACATAAAAACATGCAAAGGGGAACAAATTATGAAAATTAAATCTAAATATATCCCTGTTAGTGAAACGCATTTATGTTATACTGCAGAGAATCTAAAAATGAGCAAATGTCCATTAAAAAACAAAACTGTATTTAATGAACATGCTGTACACAACACAAACCTGAAGTAGACAGTAGCGTTGGAATAGCTCTGTGCCTGCGCTGTCCGACCTTGACGAAGGTCATCAGCCACCGGTTTTGGTAACATACCTGCACAGGGATTTCATGACTTGAAATAAAAATGCCCTGTCTATGGGACATAGAAATGATGATGGTGCTACTTCTGTAGCACTAGATGGCAGTGTGCACATTTTACTGTGTTCTTTAATACTTCCAAGATTTACACTTCAAGTGTAAGTAACTCATATGAATGATTTACTGACATTAAGAGTAACAATCCTTGAGCAACTTTTCATGTGCTGCACTAAGGCATGCAGATATTGTAGATAATAAATGTATTAGTACCCATTTTATAGTTTACTTCTCATCACCCCTTTCATAATGAGCTTCATTTCTAGTCCTGCTTGTACTACATATTTCAGTGATATCTCTGCAACACCACAAAGACAAATTCCTAAAAGCTGTACTTCAATTATTATTCAAGGATCAATAATTAGAGCCATACAACCCTTTCACTCCACACTGTTATCCTGACTTACTGTATAACAGCCGATCGGTCCTCTGCTTCTCTTGAAGAAGGTCTTGTGTTCTCTCAGCAACTATGGCTTCCAGATGTTTGCTGTACTTCTCCATCTGTAGTTAAAGAAACCCTGTTTGTGCCTGGTTTTTGTTTTTCTTAGCATTTGTCTTTGAAACACTGCCCTGTTTGGGAATCGTAGGTTTTCATTTCAAAAAACGTTACATCATATTTATTATATTTCTTGTATCATTCATGATACATTTAATGCATACTATGCAACTTCACCCAAATGTTTTCCACATTATTTTATGTTTTCCACATTATTTTACCATATTTCTGTGGGTTATTACCAGGTTCATCATCATGTCCACAGGGCTGACTTTGTGTGGGTTCATTTTGTTGAGCGTCTTCTTCACCTGCTCAAACGTGGGCCTCATGGTGGCATTATGAGACCAGCACTTCTTAATAAGCTGTTCAAGTGTTCCAGAAAAGAGAGCAGCAAATCATTGTCTAATATGTTTATACACTAATATGACATATAATACTAATCTAACATTTCCAAGGTTTTGCGTTTATTCAAGATCCAATTCAACAAGAGAGTAATTAGTTCCACTATCACATTTCTCACTATACAGATCTAGCAACATTTATAACATTTGCACATGTGGCAGACCTCATAGTAGTCTCCTTGACTGGGACAGTCAGTATCTGCCTTCCCTGCTTTGAGTTCAGGCAGAGGGGGGCGCCACATGAGATCCATTCTCACTCCCTCAGGCTGGTCCTGTAAGAGAGGACTGCTGGTTACAAAGCAAAGATCAAAAAGAAGCCGAAAGGTTGTAATCTACAGAGAAGGCTCTTACTGAAATGAGGTCAGTGCGAGTTGCAATCTCAAGCAGAATCATAGAGTAGCTGAGGAGAGGAGGGAAAAGCAGAGAAAGGATATTATTTTCCTTGCATTTTCCAGTGCAGTTACTAAAATTCAACAGCAACACTTTTTATATGTATGAATAAGCTTGCCTGTCCACCATAAAAAAATTCCACATCTTTAATTTAACTTTATTTAATTTAACTATAATTAACTGCATATATGGTGTCACGCAAACACACCTGTAGACATCTGCCGCTGGTGTCATATTGGAGCTGCATCCCTGCAGGACTTCTGGGGCACAGTATATGCGATTTACATCCAAAAAATTGAAGCCACTGCTGACGGCCTCAAAATCCTCCTTCCTGTAAGCTGTGAGCCCATAATCTGAAGCCAAACACGAAAAAATACAGAGTACAGTGACACAGGATGTTGTTTTCACTGTAATAATAACATTGCTGATGGTGTAGGATGTGGCTGTGTAGTGAAATGACTCCTTTAGTGTCATATAAACTGTGTATAAGTGACTTGTCACATGTGTAATTGCTGACAACAGAATATAATAAGACAAAAACGATTAGACTTGACTTGGCAGGTCACAAACTTAAACTGTGGACAGGATGGTATTTTGTCACCTGAGATTTTGCACACCCAGCGGTCATCAATAACACAGTTTCTGGAGTGAAGTCTTCCATGAAACATCTTGTGCTGGTGGAGGTAAGACATTCCGCGGGTGATGTCAGTCGCAAAGGACAATCTGCACGAGGAAGAAACACTACTGTTATTGTTTTAAATCAAAGGTAAAGGTCTTGGCACATAACAAAAAGTACACTGGGTCATGCTACAATTTGGTCTAAAATTAGTATTTTAGTCTTTTCTGTGACAGATTTTAGTGTGATTGTTGAACTGTGGTATAAAATATTGGCTCTGGAAAGGAGGTCTTCCAAAATCTGACATTTCCAGCTCACATTTCCTCAGCATAATACATTTTGCATTTCATCCCATCATCTGTGGGCCAGATATCTGTGGAATTTAAGAAACACACACCACAAAATCTCTCATCTAACCAGCAGCGAGCGGTTAGATGCGACTATACCATGATCTTTAGCTCCTAGGTGTGAGTATGAACTGCACAAAAAGCTAAAATAGGCAAATAAACGGCCATTTACACAATGCACACAACCAGTAATGACAGATCTATTGGTGCTACAACTGCTACTAAGATCAAGAAAAAGAAAAACAACGTACAGATCAGAAAAAAATTAAGCTACATGGGATTTTTCACACCTGAAGCCCCAGTTGATAGGGATGTCATCATTCAGCAGGACATCAGACAGGCTTCCTTTGGGGCAGAACTCTGTTATGATGCTGACGTAAGGGACTTCAATGGATCCACCAATGAACTTGCATAAATTGGGGTGGTCCAGTTGCCTAACCAATTTGAAAAATGACACAAGCTGCAGGAGTTGTTCTTTCCTTTGGGAGACAAGACTTTATCATGTCAGCAAAATACACGCTGTGCTCTTCCTCTGCAGGCTGTTCCTCACCTTACTTCTTTCACCTCCTTCCTGATGGTTTTAGAGAGGGTGAAATGTTTATTCTGGATGTGTTTCACTCCCACTGTCCTTCCATCGCTGCAAGACAGTTAACATCATCAAGTCAACTTAATCACCTAAATACAGAATACAGATTTATTTATATAGGGAATTGTATTTTACTGCATTGTACAGTACATAAAGTAAATTTTACACTGCCACTACGGTGCATGTGGATCCATATAGCCTTGTCTATAATTTACTGATCCATAAAGCAAATTTTTAAAAAGTGTTTTCGAAATGAAACAGTGAAAAATTATGATTCATGAGCATTTATATGAACTAAAAATAACATTTCTCACTAGATGCCTCGCTGGATAAAGCCTTGTTTAAAGGTGGTGTTGACTCTGGTACAAACGGTCACATTAGTAGTTTGACTGATGGTGGAGTTATTGCTCTTGATGTGCTGCAGGCTGGTGGTGCTGCCCAGGCCCACGTGGCACACTTTACCTGCAGACACCAGACAGTTAGGTACTCATGACAAACAGTTTACTGTCAATTCAAGAATAGTGTTGAGAAATTCTATTATGGTGAGTTATAAAAATAGTAAAATCCAGTAATTTACATAGGAATGAAATGTTTTTTAATTGGAGGGAGTAGAGAGGATAAAACATCCTTCAGGCCTGACCCCTTCTTACTTACATAAAAATGATGGATCTGGGACAACAGCCACACCCTTTTTGTTTTAAAGTAAAAATTAAAGTGATCCATTCCTGAATCACACTGAAGTCTTGAACGAAAGAGCTAGTCTAGAGCGTTAATGTAAGTAAAGCTTTTTGTTGAAATATAGTATCTGTAAACAGGATCTATTAACAACTTCAACGTGAGAAATTTTACCAAATATTATGCTCTTGTAGTTTATGATCCAGCTTTCATCCCAAAACATCCTCTGTTTCTGGTACTGGAGCCACTGCCAGGAGGAAATAAAGATAAACATCAGTGTGTGTGTGTGTGTGTGTGTGTGTGTGTGTGTGTGTGTTTTGCACAGACTGACCACCATGGTTAGGATGAAGCCGCTGCTGAAGAGAGCAACTGGAAGCCCGATGGCCACCTTAATAGTGATGGACATCGGGCAGATACCACAGTCTGCGGGACAGTTGAGACAGTTCTCGTCCACCTCACAGATGTCATCCCCACACACTGAAACACAATCACACAGTTTACGTTTTTCAGTGAATGAATGAATTCAGTGGGCGGAAGAAGGGGTCATTTACTTCAGCAAAAGTACCACACCCTAAGTAAAAGTCTCGCAGTAAGAATTCATCAAAGTAAAATTCCAGAAGTTTTAGCATCAAAATGTATTAAGCAGATTGGTTTATTTCAGATTATATTACAGTGTACATTAGTTTAATGTTGCAGCTCATAAAGATCGGGCTAACTTGAACTAGTTTATATTGCTGGGTAGCATGTGAAGTTCCCCCCGGGGATCAAAAAAGTCTTATTTTATCTTAACTTTACCTAACACATAATGTATTTCATGATTACATTTTGTGTTAATCTGAATCTGCAAAGTAACTTGTAACTAAAGTTATCAAACAAAAATAGTGGAGGAAAAGTATTAACTAGCCAACAATAGAAACATTCAAGTAAAGTGCAAGTACTTGAAATGTTTACTTAAATACAGTCTAAGTAAATGTACTTAGTAAGTAAAAGTGTAAAATTGAGTTTATTATTGCAACTCAGCTGATAGTGTAGCCCTTGTTTTGAAATGATGGCTATTCTACCACAAGGTCACACACAATTTCACCTTTCCACTATTGTTTATGTACAGGTTCATGATGTAAATAAGCTTGTGCTAGTAGTCTTGTTGCCTGCACCAACTTATTTACCTAGTGCATACTGCTAAACACCTCAATGATGGTAATGTTGTACACATATAGTTTTACCATGGCTGAGCATCAGACGCACTACTCAGCATATTCTGTAGGATTCAGCACATCAGCCAATGGAAACCCTATGAGTGTTAGCATACTGACCTTGAGCACTGACAACAAGCACTTTGGACTCCAGTGCGGCGTGCATCTGTCCTATTTTGATATGAGCAATGACTGAGGTGACGCCCACATGGATCAGCACCACCTGTATGAGAAGACACAGTGAGAGAAGTTAAAATGCACTTTACTGTGAGGTTTCATATTATATAGTATTATTAGTCTCAGCCAACAATTATTTCTTATTTTTTGGTTTAGTAGTGTGTGTGTGTGTGTGTGTGTGTGTGTGTGTGTGTGTGTCAGTCATATAAGGAATTGTTTGTTCTCTTACATCTTTTTAGGATTGTATAAGAGAATATTCTGTCAGTTTTTCACCACAATAACACACATATACATGAACACATTTTTGTTTTGTACTTATAAATTAACATTCATTTCATTTGATAAGCTGCGACCCAAAGTATGGCTTTCTATACTTGTGTAATTTCCTACTAACTGACAAGTAATTACAACCTGCTGCCATGTTGTTTTGTGAACCACCATCATAACAGACCACAGGCTTCACTTTGATCAAACACATCACTTTTGTGTTTTGCCTGGGTGCAATACGAATTATATTCAGACAACAAAGTTAAAGTTGAACATCTGACAAAAAAATTGTTTTAACAGTAGTGGATGATTGATTTATTTTTATAATACTTTTGGTCTGGGTGTGTAAATAACGCATAATGGAAAAACGTACAACGTATTGTTGTAACAGGATATGGGATACTACAAATGTTCTCCAAAACTCAACATGTGTTAAAGATTACCCACTCTTTTGACGAGTTTTGTTTGGGTTGGCTCACCTTTGAAGTCCAGTATTTCTGAGGCATCTTGCCTGCTTTAGACACAGTGTGCGTCACTATTTTACCATCGTCAGGAATCCATGGGCCACAGATCCCATCTTGTTTCTGTGAAGAGACAAAACAACAGTTTGGAGAGGTTTTACTCCTCAATGTGCCCTCTAGACGGTTCATTCATGTGATAGTAAGTGCTGATATTTGAATTACCCTCATTTTTTCAAGTTGTGCGCTGACTCAATTAAAATTGACCTTGATGTACTGTAATTTATCATTCTAACAATAATTATATGTCTTTCAGGCAGTGATTTGTTGATGGGTAATGTTTTGGACATTAATACAACAACCATACACTGAAAAACACATTCATTTTCATTTCTTCACAAAGGTTGCAGCTTCACCTTGATTGATTTCAAAGTCATTGTGCCTTGAGAGCAAATCTGGAAGAAGCAAATTAAATAAAAAGCAAACAAAATAATGACATTATCCTAAATGATAGATATCAATATGCAGTATAATGCACTCCTAAAAAATACATGTCCCTTAATATTAAAGATTTAAAGATATATTTGCCCACTTTAGTTTTCTTATTATGAGGAGAAGGTGATGATAATGTGGACTGTGTTTGGTGAGATGAAACCAGTGTTGTGGAACTTACTAGTACTGGGTACTCACCATGAGGCCGAGAGGACAGGAGTGGATGTTGGCGTGATACACACAGCAGTTCATTTCATTGGCATTGTTCCAGTTTTCCGGGCAGTCATGTTCATGACAGAACGTCTTTGCCTCTGATGCAGTACTAGAAGGGAACAAGGGTGGGAAGACAAATACTTGAAATACTTAACTCAACACCCCATGAGCCTATTCACAAAGGGAGATAAAACAAAAGCCTGATGATCAGCTGACCTTTCTTAGAGCCATTAGCCTAAATTAAGATAAAAAATCATATTTAGTTCTGGTGATGGATCGCTCAGCAATAGGTAATTGATTAAATGTAATGTCTAATTAATTGTAGGCTAATAGTCGTTTTTCTTTTTGTCGTGTAAGTGTATTGAGACACTTTGTGATGGAACTGTACACTCAAAAAAAAATCACTTACTTACAATTACTCACTTAAAAATGTTTACATTTTGAAGCTGTTTGCCAGTGTGTGTGCGTGAGTGCATCCTGCATTGCCGACATTTAGAATTCCAGGAGTTTATGTAACACTCTTACCTGAACTGGAAAATCTTGTTCCTGACTGCGTATTCATAGAAAGAATCTGAGGCCGTCACTGTGTACGAGACATTGAACTCTTCCCCATTGGTTACTTTTTCTGGAGGACGCTGCACCCAGGCCATTTCCAGACCTGTGTCAGCAAACATGCACAGCGCCAAAACATATAGCTACTTTCAAACAGTGCACATATGCGTGTAAGGGATACTGTGTATTGTATGATTCTGTTGGGCCGCACCTACTAAGTAACTGTAATTAATTCTGGACTAATGCTGTAAACGTTGTCTCATGCCTTTTCAGCCACAAGAGGAAGACCATCTGATTTTACAGTAAATCTACAGATGAATCACTCAAAACAACTGCCATGAAACACTCAAACAAACAGAGACCCAGACAGACAAATAAATGTATAAAAACTCACCACCACAGCTTATCATGTTGAAATCATTTGGACTGTTGATCGGCCAACAGTCATACTCTGTGTTGTCCAGATCATGCCAGCAATTTACTCCCTGCAGGTGAGACAGGAAGCTTCTTTTATGTAAAGGCATTTCTTTTTGGTATGTGTAAACAAATTTGAAAAAACCTAATGTGTGTAAAGTGTTAAGTCAAGGTCTGGTCATGTGAGTTAATGAATTAAATACACAGTTCCACCCTGTAAAGCCTGGATGGATTTCAGCCAAGATGATAAAGAGTCAAATCAAACAGCAGCCGACATCAACTTCACTAGCAAAAGAACTGTGGATAAATGTAAGTAAGAATCACAGTATAGATTGATTCTAGGTTGTTTTATAAACTCGGAAATCAGCCCCACATGAAGCTGGAAAATAGCCTGCAGAAATAAGCCTGTGACCACATGCCCTGCAGCAACAAGTGTTTCTGACAAGGCAACAAAAGCAAGGGGTGTTCCTCAGCAATAAATGAAAATGTGAATATGATACACGCAGTTTACACAAAAGTTTATATTCCTTCCTCTGTGTAGTACAATCACAGGAAAATGCATCTATCCCTGTCAACATTTCACATAATTATGCAGTTCATCAAGAGGTTAACCTTAAACATCTGTGGCTATTAGTCCACATTTCCACTCTGAAATTAAACATGTTGTTGTGTTATATTTGAAAATCCTCTACTAAGTGAGAACTTACCAGCAGGAAACACAGGTAAAGGGATGCCACTGTCTGTAGAGCCATGAGGAGGTTTGCTGCTGTGGCTGGACACGCTCTGAACTAACTAGCTGAGTGAACGACCAAATCTGTGCGTGCATGTGTGTGTGTGCGTGTGTGTGTGTGCGTCTATGTAAGGGTTTCTGCGCAGTCACCTCAACACAACCAAAGTAACCTTCCCCAAATGTGTTTCTTTCTGAGGCCCAGCCACACCCTTGTCCCTAATTGTCCAATCAGCAGAAGAGGCTCTTCAATCACAGTTTGATCACTTATTTGTTCTTTCGCTCACCTTCACTGTCCTACAGGTCATAATCACCCAGAAGTCTCTGCTGCACCTGAACTGACCACCAGGGCACCTTTTTCTACTGTTTAGGTCTTCTGCATCATCTAACTCCATCTGTACTATCTTAAATTAGGGGTATTTATAGGGGAAACTGTATCAACTTCACAATTAATTTGAACATTCAATTTATTCTTCCTCAAAAACGTGTCAACAGGAAGCAGTTGTTGAGGTTACAGGTGCCTGACAAGTAGCCTAACCTTTTTCTTGGGTACATTGGCAACACAATACGTTTGTTTTACAAAAAAAAAATTGCTTTTTCCAGAGCTTTCAGATTTTTTTCTTCCTTAGCATTTTACTCAACTATGATTGCTCAGAAGTCCAAAGCGACTTAAAATTAAGTACATCTGGCAGAAGAAAGTGAAAAGGCAATAGACGGCTGTCGGTAGAGTAAGGATGTCACTAGAGCAACTTTCAAGCACTGATAATTGCTAGGGGTTAGCCTGCTGGTAGACAGCAAAGATAGCTAGGCTAAGGTGCTACACAGTGCTAAGTAAGCCTACTATTTTTGATAGCCGGAATTTACAAACATACAAGTGCGTTTTTTGGGAGGTGGGGGGGTGAAGTAGGGAGGCAGAGTCCAGGTAAACTCTTAACAAGTGAGTCTTGAGTCTCTTGTGGAAGCAGGTGAGTGTCTCCATTCTCTCTCCCATTGCCCGTGAGCTTGTTTTACCACTGTGGCGAGCCAGTGGCAGTCATGGAAGAGGGTGGTCACATGACAGCTGATCAAAGAATAAGTAAACAAAACAATAAATATGAGCAGGCATGTTATGCCGTCTTTTTATGTAGTTTTCCTGTGTATTGAGGTTTGATACCCACCACCACATTACACTCTGATCACTGGAGAAACACCACCTGATTCTGTTCAACAGTGTAATATAAATATAAAAGCTTATGCAATGATTAAGTTGTAACCATCAGATAGCCTGTATTGTGTATAATATGGCCAGCACCTTGCATGACAGCTCCCAGCCATTGTTAAAATGAGTGTGTGTTATTGGGTGAATGAGAGGCACATTGTAAACACTTTGGATAAAAGCTATATACAAGTTCAGTCCATTTCTGATTTACAAATGTAATAATTTGTAATATGAATTCATTCATTATGACAATGTTTTGTCAGCATGTGCAGTGAAACTTCTTTGCCCCCATTTATCAGGTATACTATTGTGTTTATCACGGTGTTCTGCTGAAATCCTATACACTGGATAACCATGTATCCTGTAACCTTGTAGAAACCAGTCAATTCTGTAAATTATACACAAATTAATGTTGAACTTCGCCTCCATGAGTCCTTGCCTTTATGGCACAACGGATATTTATATTGCACCATGCCTTCTGTACTGGTGGACATTTTCCATCTCTGCCCACATCTGTTTTCCCTGAGATTAAGACCCAACCAAAATACAGCATTTTGAACATCTGTAAAATTTTATTGGCTTTTCAAGAATGCATAATTACAGCACAGCTGTAGAAAAAGGCCTGCAACACCACACAGTTTACAGTTTATGTTTTTGGGAATGCAAAACCAGGGTGGCACGCAGCAGTCACGACAGGTCTACTGAGGACATACAGCACTTGCTACAATAAAACATGTTCTTAATGGAGACCACATGACTTTAATCAAGTCGAACCTTAACCTGAAACAAAAAACTGAATGTCATTTACACCCTGAGTAGTTTTCTATGAGCAAAATGTACAGTGCTGAACCTTTTTTTTTTTCTACTGTCTAATGAGGCTGATTGTGTGTAGGGGAGGACATGATGTTGTAAAAGCAGGTTACTAGAATATGAGGGGAAAATAAGAATTGCTGTGGGTTTGTGGTTGCAAAGAGTTAAAGATTATGAACAATGGGCTTGTATTTCAAGCAGGTCGACGAGAGTAAATTAGAGGTGAGATTTCAAATTTCAACAAGATTCAAAGCCTCTTTAGATAAAACAGAGGAACTACAGTATGTAGTATTAAACAGCACACAAATTAATAGATGCACACAATATGCAGTTGATAACCAGTGGTGGAATGTAACTAAGTATATTTTGCACAGATCTCAAGTACTGATACAAATCCTAGGTACTTTTACTTTACAAAGAGTAGAGTATTTCCAATTTACACAGCTTTATAATTCTACTCAACTACAATTCAGAGGCAAATATTGTACTTTTTACTCCACTACAGTTACTTTTCAGATTACAGTTGTTATCCTTTCTGTCCAGTGGAAACCATGTATTTCCAAATTTGGTGATTTTGAATTTGATTCTTTTTCTGACAAACTTTAGTCTGTCTTTATGTGTTGAAAATTCTCCTACTTCTTAAGATAAACAAACTATTTAAAATTAATTAGCTGGAAAATGCATCGTGACAGAGCTGAAAACAAGGCTGCATTTCAGAACATTTTAGAGATACATCGTTCTCACAGGACAGCGCTGATGATTTTACAGAAGATGATACATTGCTGTAGATTATACTACCCAACAACAAAAAGTAGTTAAAATTAGCACAACTATAAACATTTACAGCAGTAAAATGCAACATATACATTAATGAAGCAGTAATATTATTTAATAGTAACACCAACAGGGACCATTTTCTTTACTTAAAGTACATTTAGCTAATACTTACATACTTTTACTTAAGTAAGGTTTTGAATGAAGAACATCCACTTATAGTAGAGTATTCAGATAGTGGTATTTACTTAAGTAAAAGAATCCACCGCTGTTCATAAAATACATAATGTAAGTTTCACTGTTTCTTTAACCTACAACATTTTACTTTTTTCCATTTTTCCAGATGTTGATGAAGAGTTTCAGATAGGTGACATTTACAGGAAATTTCAAATAGTGTCAGGTTACTGTTAATCACAGAAAGCTGTACAAAATTAAAATACTGTTGTGTGGACATTTTTACTGATGCAAGTGCTTTGCTGTCTAATTCAGAGGTGTTTCTTGTTCCCCCCACTTAAGAGCCAGTGCTGTTTTTCTCCAGCTTTTTGGCCAATAATGAAACTGACTGAATGGAAACTAAAGGTTACCCACTAATTGGCCTGAACAGAGGAAATCATCCTGAAGTGGCAGCTCTTGAGCAGCAGAAATCTCAAGCGTGGTACTTCATCAACTATTGACTGCAGTAGGCTACAAGTCACGTAATCAAGAGTGTCAGATAATCCTTGCAGGGGGGTTGCTAAGATCTATCATCAAGGGTATTTAGACTCCCCATTACAAGCTAGTACCAGTTAGTTCAAATCAGGAGACATTCTGACTTATCATAAATCAAAGTATTGGACAGATTAAAACCTGATATTGCTGGAATCACATTCTGGGTACTATAGATTTTTTAAATAAATATATTTGATCCATTTTTGGTAGGCTACTTTGAGAGAATCATATCCAACCTGATATATGTAGCTATAAAGGCTTTTGTGAAAATAACCTCTACTGCTAGCAGTCTCTGTATCATATCATGTCATCAGGAAAAAAACAACAAAAAAAACAGAGTACATGTAATTATGTTTGACAAAAAAACATGCAACACCAAAAGCTGTTAATTTTAACAATGTGAGTTAATTCTTATGGTTTTAAAAGTCCAATAGTTTGAAAGTCACACTACACAGGAATGACTATGAATAATCTCAGTTCAATAATGAAACACTCTTCACTGGAGCTGTAAACTTTTCCACTCCCCACTCGCATTCCTACACTCCGAAGATATAAACAGCATTAGACATGTCATGTCCTTTACAGCAAGACTGGCATAAATTCTGGACAGCTGGGTGAAGAAAAGTCATCTGAACACTGTCAGTTATTTAGTAATGGAGGGAGGGGTGTGTGTGTGCGCGCGTGTGTGTGTGTGTGTGTGTGTAAGTAACTACCCCCTAGTTACAGTATATTCAGTCAGATCCTCTTCGGTTCCAGCCAGTACTCAGTGTATACTGAACTCCAGCAGGAATTCAGTGTGTCGCAACATCATTTTTCAACCACTGCACTCTTTGTTTCGTCAGAGCAACAGCAGTCATTCAATGAGTTGAAGCAGATTTGTTAAAATGCTACAGGCAGAACAAGTTTGCCTCCATGACATGCTGCAGGTGGGAGTTTATATGTTTGTTTAGACAAACTGATAAATGATGAAAGACGTGACAAGAAAGGAACGACTCTAGTCTATTTCACACAGGCAAACATTCTTTACAGAAGAAAATGCGGTGTGAACTAACTTAAAATGAAAATAATGGCCAAAGCAATCTGGGCATGCTGAGTACGCTAGCTGTCATACAGTTTAAATTACTTCACCTCTTCTTGAGAGCATCTAACAGGAAGTACAAATATAGTACAGCAGTTAACAGTATTTTGCTGGGTGTGTTTAAAAATAAGAAATAATCTTTAAAGTGGTTTCCTACCCAAGCAAACGTACAGTTTTATAGTACCTGACTAAACAAGTCATTTACAATTTCTTACAATACTACAATTTCCATAAACAATTTCTTAGCTAGATCACCCACTACAGTATTGATTCCTCATAAGCTACAGAAAAAGTAAATCTACCCATCAGGTGTACACAAATTTATGTTAGGGACCTTTCGCATGATTTTTTATTTTTTTACCCTTTTTGGAGGTAAAAGTAGAAATGTGCCAATAAGTGTACTTCATACTAGTTTCTGTCTTCAGCCATTGGAGCGCAGTATAAGATCATATAACCGATAGGGAGTGTGATGAGGATGTCAAATACAGTTGAGAACAGCAATATTAATCTCCCATAGCACACAAATGGGAGTTGCGTGTCCAAAAACCGTATAATCCTACAGAAAAACTGAAAAAGCTCATCTTTGCATCCATTTGGAAAATAAGAAGTGCACCAAATTCTCTTTTCTCCATCTCACCACAACCTCAGCTCTGCAGCAGCTGGCCTGCAGTGTCTCTTCATGAAAGTACTTTTAATCTGAGGACAACAACGACCCCCCTGAGATGATGGTGCCATTTCTCTTTCAAGTCAACTTCTATCTGTATCTTTGCAAGGTCCTTCCAGTCAGAGCTGGACAGAAGTTCCATTTTCAGGTCTTGAGTATGCTCTGATCGTCATTTTTTGTCTCCTCTGAGGGAGGCTGACTGTTGCCCATGTCCTGACCAGAGCTGAGCGGCCTGGCATTGGCCTTTGTCGACCGCTGCCGTCGCGTGCCGTTGCCAATGCAGCACAGGAGGTTCTTGATAGTTGTCCACATTTCCTCGTCCTTATAGGAGTAGATGCAGGGATTCATGACGGAGTTGAGTACAGCCAGGAGCAGCAGCCAGCGTTTTAATTTCATGACGTTACAACTCGTACAGTTGAGACCGTCCAACAGCAGAACCACCAGGCCAGGAGTCCAGCAGATCACAAAAGCCCCTTCAGGAGAAAATACATCAAATCACACACAGTTATGTTGTGTTAACACATGGATTGTATTTCATATATGGATCCTTTTTGGCAGGGGAGGCACTATGAATAAATGTCACCCTGTAAAAAGGTCAAGTTCCAATTTACAAAAAGGGTATGAGCATAGTTTTTCGTTTTAAAGGGCTGTGTCTTGGCTGGTTGCAGTAACTTTCTGGAGTCTTGTTATTGCCATAAGGTTGCCAGGCAAACAGCAGAGGCTCTGACTGTACCCAGCCAAGAAATAGTCTCCAGAAAACCACAACGTGACAATTTTGCACAAATCAAAGACAAAGACTTTTAAATCAACTTAATTGTCACAGTACAACATATGCAAAATTCATTCTCTCTGCATTTAACCCTACCTAATTAGGAGCAGTGCAGCGCACGAGGACCAACGCCAGACCAGATCTAGGCCAGTACTTTGGTCAAGGGCACCGACTGGAGAAATTAACCTAACCACCTTACTGGTGGGAAAAATCGGAGCACCCGCAGGGAATCCACACAAACACAGGGAGAACATGCAAACACCACAGTATTTGTGGCCGGTGGGATTTTATCTTTAGACAGAGCCAGGTTTGCTGTTCCCACTCTTCATGCTATGCTAAGCTAAGTGACTTCTGGATACACCCACATATTTACTGCACAGATGTGAAAGGGTTATCGATCTACTCATCCAACTCTCATCAAAAAAGCCTACAAGCTTATGTCAAACTTAAGTTTGTAAGTAAGTCAAAATGTATTTACTGCTAATAAATGATTATACTTTGTTTATTAATCCTTCGCAAATCTGTGTTAACAAATGTTTTATAAATGATTTGGGTTTTCAGGTTCACAGTCCACATTTTGACCACTGGCTAAAGGCATATTGTAAAGAGGAAATCCCCAGTTTATAATAAGTAACAACACAAAATCTCTTTACAAGAAATCCTTATTTGGTTCCAAATTTCAATAAACTCTTGCACACTGCACTCTTACATTGATAGTGAAAACGTAACTGCCAGGTAGAAACACACTTGTCTATAGTGAGCTGTTTAGCATAAGTGCAGCGGTGGGGGAGAGTATATACCTTATGCAAGTTTTAATTAGGGCTGCAACTTATTATGATTTTCATTATCAATGAATCTGTTAATTATGTTTTTGTTTAATGGATTAATCATGTAGTGTATAAAATTTCAGAACATAGCAAATCAGAATTTTCCAGAATCCAAATTGAATCAAATTTGAAAACCCGGAAACTGAGAATGTTCGGAATTTTAAACTTGATAAATGACAGTAACTGAAAAGAAGATTAATCGACTATCAGTATTGTTGAATACATTTCTGTTGATTTATTGCTTCAGCATACAGTGACTACACAAACCAAGGAAGGTTAAAATCAAGGGCAGCTGGACTGGTTAAAGATACTTGAAGTTTCGCCTCTTATCCGAGTTAGGGAATCACATCCATTTAACCTGTATGCGGTCGTTATCAAGGTGATTGATACCGCTTGGTTCATTAGTGAGCCTGTCGTTGGCGTCACATAAGGCCAAGTCTGAACAGCTGTCATTGGCAAATGTGAATATTTGTTCAATCTCCTGAGAAGAGATGAAAGGATGAGGTCCTCATACAGGGAAGAAGTACAAAGCAGAGCTCTGAACTCCTTCAGAGGAACAGCACTGAGTTATTGGTACAGATATGTCGGCCACACAAATTAAAACCCAGGAAGTGCAAGTCTTCACAGAACACATAAATTCTGTGGACAGGAAAATCCAGTTCACACGAGAGGATGTCAGCAACAACAGTTCGGCCCTCTTGGACTGAGCCGTATACATTAAAGAGGGCAGGAGCCAAACTGGAGTGTAGAGGAAACCCACACAGACCAATATTTACTCTTTGACTCTCACCACCCACTGAAGCATAAACTAGGTGTAATCAGAACCCTGCATCGCTGAGCTGACAACATTCCAACAAGTGCCCAAACCCAAGAAAAGGAGCATAAACACCTGAAGGGGACACTTGATGTGTGTGGATACCCAAACTGGAACCTTTGTGAAAACAGCCATAATGTCCAGGAATAACACCAACAATACAGGGGATAAGGAAAAGAAGAGTAAACGCAACAACACTGTGATTCCATACATGTCAGGAGTATCAGAGAAACTCAGGAGGATTTTCAGCAAACACACATCCCTGTGTTTTTTTTTTAAAACCCAAGAACACGTTAAGAACACTGGTCCACCCGAAAGACTAGAGTACGCTGTCCAATGCAGTGAGGAACGCACACACCTGTATATTGGAGAAACCAAACAACCACTACACAAATGCATGGCTTTACACAGAAGGGCCAAAACACCACTGGTCACGACTGAGCAGTTTGCTTACATTTGAAGGACAATGGACATCACCTCGATACCAACCCCACAGAGGTTAAATGGCTGGGACTCCATACCAGTCAGTCAGACATTATCAGACATTATCAAGTAAGTCTTCAGCCAGTCCTGTTGCCCTTGATTTTAACCCTGGATAACTGCCACCTGGATGACTGAGAATCTTCACAGACCGTGACTACACAATGTTCACAGTTTTCTGAGCTGGCCAACGGATTTACTCCTACAGTCTCCTGAGTCCTGATTGTTCACAAGGATGTTGAAAAAGCAAATATATAAACTAATCAAAAGCTAAAGCAGAAATGCATTTGTTGGTTTCATGTACTTCCCTTAATGAAGCTAAAGCACAGAAAGTGCTGTGTGCTATTTAAAAAAAATACGGGTGTCACAGGGCTACTGAAGCAGGCAATTAGCCATCTATTTGAAACATGTTTGGGCACAAAACTGAGCTACCAAGAAATTTCTGGAACTGAAAGGAAGCCACAAGCAGCAACTTGTCTATCGGCAGTGATGTTGACACAATCAGGATCTCTACGGCTTCAATACATCTGCAGAACAAAAACAAGTACTGTTCTATACAGCGCTCTCTCTCTCTTTGTCTGACTGACACACACACACACACACACACACACACACACACAGTGTGTCTGGTAGGAGTGTTGATCTCAGTTTTTATGCTCTTCACTGACAGAAAGTCAAAAAGTCTATTGAAATGTTTCTATTTTTATACTTATTCTTCTTCCATTTGTCTTTTATGGCCCACATGTGAAAATAAAGTGAGCTGAATTGATATTGTATGAGACCCGGTTTAATGGTTTTCCATTGGCAGTTTTTGACATATTGGAGTTTAAAAGTGGACTTTCTTCCCCTTTAATCTCTGACAAAGAAAAAAAAACAACAGGGTTTTAGGGACATGTTTCAAGCATCTGTGTTTCTCAGCTGGTATTCATTTGACAATGTTGGTTGGGCGTAATGAATGAAAACAAAATCTCAGGCCCCAACGCTCTCAGATTTACTACAAAAAAAATTGGCTCTCGGCCACTAAACTACAAGAATGATATTTTACCAAACTAGTGCCACGAAGAGAACAATATAGAAGTAATTCCTGTAGTACTCATATACAGGAATCATATAAATTTGTTCTGTACTTTTGAGGTATTTGATTGCCAGCACAGGCAACCTACAACGACAATGTCCAACGGTATCGCTATCCAACGCTTATGCACGCTCATTCACTTCACTCTATTTATAACAAAGGATACATGGATTATGCGTCTCCGAACTGGTTTGTCTCGTTGAGATTTCCATGTGAGCAGACAACAAAAGTTAACTGTTTTGTTTTTCTGAATCATGTAGATTTTGGCACCACCCAAACCAAGACACTTGGTTTGCATTTTACCCCAAAGTCTCAACAATCTTAAGAGGAAATTTAACAATGACACTTGGGTAGTAAAACTTCCGCAAGCTCAATCGAACTCTGCAAAGCATGTGAAAGCAATTGAAAAAGTCCTGAAGTTCTTCTTCCACTTCCTTTCTGTATTTTTTTTTTTTTTTTTTGGATGGTGGGGAGGAGGGGACGTTCATTGAATGCCAGTGTGGTGTGGTGTGTGGACGGTACGCCACACATGCTAAGGAGCAGTGTCCTTGCAGGGAGCAATAATTACACAGCAGTTTGAAATAAAGTGTGTACAGAGGCAGAAAGCTCCTACACTACATACTGTATCAAGCCATCTGGCCGGGCAAGCCGACTGCTCATAGAGACAAAGAACAATGACGGACTATTATCCTGCAGGGCAACAGAGCAGTTATCACAACAACTATCCCATGCATGTTTATATCTGGGCGACTTTATGAAGAACTGAGTGCATTCATCTGACCTGATCTGAAACGCATCATCCACACCAGAATCTGGCAACTTACTTTGCACATTGTGTAATTCTTGCGTGAGAATATGCATTCAACACAATGTTGTAATGCTCCAGCAGAATAAGCTTGTGCAGTGCTATTGTAGTATTGCATTCTTATATTATACTCCTCAAGGGAAATGGCTGGGAGGAGAACAATTTGTAGATGGTGCCTCTATTGCAAAGTATCTTGTTCCAACAGCTAAACAAAGAGAGCCAGACCAGGACATCTGATGGCCTCATGATGAAAATACATGAGAAGAGAAAGAAACTTTTTGTGCTTTATTACTCTGGGAAAAGAACAGAGTAGTGCTGCAACTATTTACATTTACTTTGTCTAGAGACTTACAATTGCTATATGTCAGAGGTCACACGCCTCTGAAGCAACTAAGGATCAAGTGCTCAGGGACACATTGGATGTGTCGCAGTGGGAATCAAACCCTACAAGGCACGTGTCTTATCCGCTGCGCCATCGCCACCCCCACAACTATAAGTAAATTAATCGGTAAGCTTATCACCAGAAAATGCCTCCAACTTCATAATCAATTAGTCATCAATGAATTAACTGTTCAGGGAATTTATAGTGCAAAAACTCCTGAGGCTGCGTTTCTTTTACCTGCTTTACATCCTCTAAACAGAATCTTCAATTAAAGTTTAACATTTTATAGACTGAATGATTCAGTCAGTCAAGCAAATAATTACAAAGACAGAATAAGCGATAATGGGTCAATGAGTGTTTAAGCCACTGGACAGAAAAACTCAAAAGAATCAGACTGTAAAGTAGCAAATAACACACAGTTACAGAGAAAGAAATGATTGATTTCATTTACAACTCCTCCAGATCACAGACAAGCACTTGGCAAGTTTACTGAAAGTGTTTGTTTTATCACGCTCAAGGTTTTCCCTCATATCAGGAAAACATTGATTATAATCCAGCGTGTTCAGCAGCAACTCTGCAAACTTCCTGGACTTTGTGACTGGTTTAAACCTTGGCGAAAGAAACACAGCCGTATACCACAATCTGACTAATGTGGGAAATGCTCTGACTCACTGCTGTATCATCAATGATGCTGCACAGACCAAAGATTTATGATTAGCACCTACCAAGTACAACCATGACCGTCTTGATGAGCTTGATGGGAGTCCTCTTGCGATTGATGGAGCCGCTGGTGTGTGGCATGAGCATTGACGTCTTCTTCTTGACGTAGGCGTAGATCCTCATGTAGATGGCCACCATCACCAGGAACACCACCAGGTTAGACGCAGACCAGAAGATCACATAGCTCCTGCTGAAAATTGGAGCCAGCTGGGAGCAGTCGCTCAGGTTGCAGATGCAGTTCCAGCCCAGACTCGGCACAGCGCCCATAAAGATGGAGATGGCCCACACCAGTACGATCAGCAGCGTCACCCTCCTCTTCGTCAGGTTGCTGTGGACTTTCCAGTTCATGACTGAGATGTAGCGCTCTAGAGCTATTACCAGCAGGTTAGACAGCGAGGCTGAGAGACTAACATCCAGGAGACCTTGACGGATGAAGTATTCTTTTACTGTAAGTTTCCGTGACACCTCACCTGTGTTAAACATGAGGTACACGTACGCTATGCCTGCCAGGAAGTCCGAGGCGGCGAGGTTGGCAAGAAGATAGTAGAAAGGGTAGTGAAACCGCTTATTGGTGATGACAGCAGCTATGACCATGGCATTGGAGAAAAGGATGAAACAGCAGAAGAGAGAGCCTACCACCTGCACAAGGATGAGTTGCGCTTTGTCCCATTTATCGTCAGCGCCGCTGTTGTTGTAGAAGAAGAACATGGACTCTTTATAATGACAGCTGTGGTTCTGTTGGGCCATTTTAAAGGCGGATCTGCGAAATGAGAAAGCATCAATCATTTATCAATTGAACAAGAGCTGAAACAATTGGGCGGTTAATTGGTTAGTCTATCTACAGAAAACTTTAAATCAAGCTTCAAATAATATTTAAATATGTTTAGATTTTTCTTCTATTCATATGCATACATACACACACACACACACACACACACACACACACAGTACTGCGCATGAATGAATAAACCAACAGATGAAAAATCAAAATCAAATCATTATCTGGTGTGACAACCCTTTGCCTTCAAACCGCATCAATTCTACACTTGCACAAAGTTTTTGAAGGAACTCAGCAGGTAGGCTGGCCCAAACATCTTGGAGAACTCCCAACAGTTCTTCTGTGGATACAGGAAACCTGAGTTGCTTCTCTCTCTTCATTTAATCCCAGACAGACTTGCCTTCTGCTGCAGCCAAATATTTCTAATTTCGACTCATCAGTCCAGAGAACCTGCTGCCATTTCTCTGCATCCCAGTTCCTGTGTTTTCATACTTAGTTTAGACCCTTAGCCTTGTTTTCTTGTCGGAGGTATGCCTTTTTGGCCACAAGTCTTCCATGAAGGCCACTTCTGACTAGACTTTTCTGGACAGTAGATGGGTATACCAGAGTCCTGCTGTTTTACGCCAGTTCTGAGCTGATGGCACTGCTGGACATCTTCCAATTGTGTAGGGAAGCATGCATGATGTTTCTTTCATCTGCAGCAAGTTTCTTTGGCTAACAATTGCATCTACGGTCCTCAACGCTGACTGTTTCTTTGTGCTTCTTCAAAAGAGTTCAGCTGTTCCTTGCTCAGTTGTATTCCTCCTACACAGGTGTCTCATTTTCAGTTAATGATCGTTTTTCAACCTACATATTGAATTTATGATCATTAGCACCTATGGTATAATTGTTTAATCATACACCTGACGATATGCCTACAAAATCCCTGACTTTGTGCAAGTGAATATAGAATCACTGATGCTGTTTTGAAGGCAAAGGGTGGCCACACCAAATATTGATTTGATTTAGATTTATCTTCTGTTCGTTCACTTTGTATTTTATTAATTGCTAAATATAATCTATTAACATGTCTATTTATGAAAGCATTCGCACCCCCCCCACACACACACACACACACACTTTTTCTATTGTAGACATTTCAAATCCATGATGATTATAAGAGTGTTGAAAAGTCTAAATGAAATGCTTTAATATGTGTAACAGTGCATATTGCCAATTTCCTGAGGCCAACAGAGATTTAGTGACTTGCGGTGGTGGAAAGTAAAATGTCCCCCATGACCGATATGCTAATATCTCATTAGATTCTTATTACTCATGCATTAATGTAAAATCATTTTTCTGTTGTAGTAGGTGGAGCTCATTTTTAAATACTATAGGACTGCAACTATGATGAGTATTTTTATTATGGATTAATCTACACATTACTTTCTCTACTGATTGTTCCAAAACATAGTGAGAAATGCTGTCACAATCACAGAGAGACCAAAGTTTCACTTTCGCAATGCTTGTTTTGCCCAACCAACAGTCCAAAACCTCAAAAGTATTAGGCTTAAATATAAATTAACATGATTGAAATAGTAATTAAAAGGGGGAAAGCAGCAAATCCTCACATTTGTGAAGCTGGAACCATGAAATGTTTGTCAGGAAAAAATTTAAATAAAATAGTTGACAATTTTTGATCAGTCCATTAATCCTCTCAGCTGTACTTGTTTAAACTTTTGGGTAGTTTAAATGACAACAAAAACATAATATTTTCTAAGCTTTGTGTGTTTTGTATGCAAATATCTTAATTTGTAAAGGTACTAGTAACTTAAGATGTAACTATCTCATTCTGAAATGTAGAAGAGTACAAGTAAAAAGTGGCATAAAAGAAAAGTTTAAATAAAATAAAGGCACTTCAAATTTGTATGGTAAGGACTTTACTTGAGTTAATGCACTTATTTACATTCCACCACTGGTGACTTGACTCCAAAGTGCACCTGAAGGTGATTTGATTGATTTAAGTTTTCAAGATAGTGACTATAGTAACATTAAAACAATACGCTCAGTGAAGTGACATGAGAAGGGTCCATAGTTTTCCATCTATGGAAACCTCCCTACAAACACTACAGATATGCTGTAAAAGAAGACGTCCACGTAATGCAGTCTAAAGGACAGTTTCCTCCATTAAAAAACCCGAGACGCCTTCCTTTATTATGGAACTAACTTTACAACTAGGCTTACCTGTTCGACCTGGCTGAGTAACAACAGCACAGAAGGGATGAGAAATTCCAACAGAGGCACTGACTAAGAGGAAGACGAACTCGCAGAAAACTAAATATAAAGCCGACAAATATTTTTCCTTACAGAATCCACAGTGTAAATCCAAAAGAAGAACGAAGAGCTACCTAGAACAATCAGCCAGGTGAATTTACCTGTGGCGAAGGGCTGCCCGTCCGGTGCGTCAGCAGACTACAACTTGCGAAACATTCCGTGCCGAGTTATGATCATGTTTGCCTTCCAGCTTCGCGCCTCCGTATGCAGCTGTGGAGGGGGGGGGAGGGAGGAGGGACGGGACAGTAGCGAGCTCCAGGACTGAGTGAAGGCAGCAAAGTTGAGCGTCTCCACTTTGAGGCTTCAGGTCGGTGACGTAGAGGGCGTGGGCCACCCAGTCTTGTAGACAGGGAAGTGAAGAAAAACACGACTGTTTCATCTGCTTCATGATGGACTGGATTTAGTTTTGTCTCGAAAGTGACAGTTATGCTGGAAATCCCTTTATTCTCCATTCATAGAACTGCAAAACTAACCATTTTGTGCTACACGACCACTCCACTGGCATTTCAGAGGGCACTTGGGCTTTTTACTTCAGTAATTTTACTTTGTGCTGGAATTACTTAACTTGTAATGGTTGTAGGGTCGCTTTACAGATGTCAATGACTTGTTAGCATTGCAATCAAACAGACATTTGCCCTCTAGACTTCCCACCTCATTTCAACGACTGTTCGAGGAAGAAAGAGGTAACATTTTTTAGAAAAGCCCAAAATAATAATTTCGGTAATAGAACATTTCTTTAATATATTTTTCCAATTTCTTTTTTACCCCATTAATCATCTTGTGACCCTTTTAAAACTTAGTTGAAATTAGCTCCACCTCAACAGTAAAATCCTACTTCGTATTAATAAAAATATATCACATGGGCCATTTTTAGTGCATGAGTAATTTCAGTACTGCTGATAATAAATGAACGCAGGATTTTTACTCATAATGGAGAATTTTATGTCGTTGTACTGCTGCTTTTACTCCAGTAAAGGATATGGTTCCTGTGTATTGGAGTAGGTCTTCCCCCACTGAGAAAAGTATGGCAATAGTTGTCCCCTATGCCCACTCTGCATGGTGTTTATGTACATATGTATGACACCAAATCAAACTCCTGTTCTTTAAATACTGCACTCACTCCTATTTACTTTTTGAGACAGCCACTCTGCTGACGTTATTCTATTGTTTTGGAAACCAAGTGATGATTGTCGACTTAAACTAAACACATACATAAAATGGAAATCCTTGTCAATATCCTGCTATTTTATTTGCTCTGGTCTTTCTTTTGACTTAAACTTTTCTCTGTCTGAAACCAAATATTACTAATATAAGGGAGATATAGCCGCATAGGAAATATTCTCTATTTAACAACACATTTTCTCATTAATCGGTGTCATAACAAACTGTGTTCATTTTGTCACATCGAAGCTGAAATGAGTCAATTTGGATGACATTAAAATGAAGTGGCCCAGTGGCTATAGATATAACTCCTTGAACTTGATCTGGCATGTTGTTACAGTTTAAGAAAACCATAACAACATGACTTTATAGTTAAAAGCAGAGTCGTCCCACTCCCAAGTGAGAAGTCGTGCTCCAGCCTTGCTGCTAGATTTGATGATAAAACTGACTCATATTGCAGTTCTGTCATCATTCAATACTCCCTTCTTACTTAATCTCAGCCCAGCTCTGAATGGGTTGTTCTGAGCACAGAAGAGATTTGTTGTACTGTAGAGTAGTTAACATTTTATATCAAGTCTCCACCACAGTGGATACAATATTGACCATGTAAATTAGTCTGCAGCTTTGACTGCGTGATTTGCTGTCTGACTCAAACTTTGAGAGAAAAGCTTAATGTGCACACAGGAATTATTATCTTACAATGGACAAATGAATATATTAGCTTTACTACAACACTTGACAAATAAATCACATCTAGCACTGCATGATGTCACATAACACCAGTGTTTGCAGCAACAGTCCAATGCAGAAAACACAGAATCCAGTTCAATTAAATGCACATGCAGACCTTAAAAAGGCCCATTAAACTTCAACAGTATCCTGAACTCCCAACAGCTACTGTTATGAAACCTTATGTTTCCAGTCCCATCTTTTTAGATCAAGCCCCAGTTTCATGTTCGAGAGAGGAAATTTCTTTGGCATTTCATATCGCACCTCACAGAATTTCTCTCCTGGAATGGTAAATCTACCCTTTCTAGAATTTTGGAAAATCAAGTCTGAATCAGACGTGTGAAGTCCCGTTCCCCGCATCGTCCTCTTCCCAGAACCGTCTCATCTGGAGGTGGGAGAGCTGTCAGCTGATCAGTATGACGTCATCATTCTCAGGAACTCTGAAAATATGATCGAATAAGATGCATGAGACACCCAGTGTCTCACCAACACCACCATACAAAGATAAACGTACATGCTTTCTACTTTGTCATTAATAAATGGTGGTTGAGGCGTCAGCAAATCTCTCACAATATCTCAGTGGTTTTGTCAAGTCCAAATAGGGGAAGCTTCATGTTTCACAAATGATTAATTTATCTTCTATTTGTGAGCAATAGTTTGGTCCACTTGGTTCTTGAATGCTTATGTATTAGTCATTGGCATGCCATTTGTTTTGATTAGTGAAACATCAACATTAATGTGAAAGAAAACAGGCCCCTGCTTCATTAGGACAGTCTGGGTGTGATTTGATTGACAGATTTTAGTAAATTATTGCTAAATATGTGAAATTTTTCCATCCAAGCCTGGTTCAGTGTGAAACTACTTTCAGTCATTTGTTTTGAGATGTTGCATCCAATATGTCACAAAGGTCACAGGAGTTTCACTTAAGCGGCTGCTTGTTCAGACTGGTAAGGTTGCTCTAGACTCTGATTGTAAGACTGCTGGGTTTGAGATAATCCCCTACACAAACCATTAGAGACAGTACCTTGAATTCAAACCTGCACATGCATGCCTCTATTCTCTGGGCACCTGCATGCAGGTTTGGCCCTGACACAGAGAGATAACAAAGGGATGCAGGATTAGGTCTGATATCTGGACTGCACACCCATTCTGAGGATAAATCTCGCAAACAAGCACGTTGAAAATCATAGCCTTGTCACCATGCGTGAACGTTTTCTTGTGTTTGCGCTCGAGAAACAGCTAATTATGTTCCTGCTGCATCAAATCTGTAAACAATTATGGACGTTTTCCCATTCATCTTTATGATCTGCCATAAGCAGCACATTTTACTGCTGGGTTGAGTCTCAGACTCACTGTTCCACAAACTGCTGCAGTCGTTTGAGGATGTGAATCCATTTCACAGAGAGCAAGGAAGTGGTGTCCAATCATTCTCTTGGAAAGCAAAACCTCAACTTTAGGTTTTATCGTTTTTATGCACAGTTTTGCACTCCCTTTGTCAAACAATATCCACTTTTCAGCTAAGCTGCTTTATTATACTGTGAGGAGAAGAGAAAAAAAAACAAAACAAATCACACTGTTTATGAATTGTAGAAGATGCATTCAAGTCTTAAGACATCACCATTTCATTGTAGGGATCTTAATAGCTATTTCAGTGACATTTACAATGTCCATACGAGTTCATTAAATATTTAATCTCATTAACAAGACTCTTAAGCCATAACACGTTATCTCAACGGCAAACTTGATACATTAGTTCCAAATAACAAGTTTTAAATCCAAACGAAGGGCAACTCTTGCTCCTCAACTTGCTTAGAGGAAGACAACAGCAGGAAGAGGCAGAGTGTATACAGATGAAATTTCATCCACTAAGACATTAACATGTTTGCTGAGAACACTGATCTAATTTTTGGGAGAGCAGCGAGACAAAAGATACTTGTAATAATTACATTTGGTCAGGTCAGAGGCTGCAAATGACTGCAATTACAGAATATGTGCAACTTGACAAGAGTGCCCCTAATGACAAAAAGTCAGCCAACTCTAAAAAAAAAAAAAAAAAAAAAAAGAAAGGCCACCAGCAGTTTCACACTCATCTTCACAGAGAAGATGCTTATTCAATAGTCAGTCTTGCATTACTTTACACTATTACACATCACATAATGGCTCTGTAACAGAGACTGAACTTCCGTAAACAGTCAGGTTTCCAGAGCAGGAAAACCGTATGGCTCTGCGATAGAAAATTACTGTAGCGCAAGTAGGAAAGCCCACAGAGTGTTAATGTCTGGTAAAACAATAACGATGAGAGAGCCCTGAAAAAAGGAAAAACTGATACTTGCATAATGTCAGAAAAAGCAAGAAAACTTTTCCCCATCTTATCCCCACTGATTACATGACTCAAAATTATTTTATACAGTGTGTACAAACATTTTGGGCCCTTGCTTGCATTAAATAATAGTTGAATGCCAAACACTGCAAAATTCTATACAAATACTGCAGCAGCCCACTCCCCCAGTCTTAAAAAAGGGACTCGTGCTTTAAGTGGAAGGATGGTGATGGCTACAGAAACCAAGCCTGGTGTTTGTTACAGCAAACAAGAAAGGGAAATTTAATTATATATCAAAAGGTTTAGGAATCTTTAAGAATGCAGAAGCAAAAGCCAACATGAGACACCACAGACAGGTGAAGTGCTGCTTTGGTAGAAACTGAGCTCAAACAAAACAGAAAAGATACAGACCGTTAAAGAGGAAGCAGGGACTTTTCAACAAGCACCAAGTTGTGCATAAACTCTACACTGTAGCTTCAAAATAGATGGTGAAATTAAAAACGTGCAACTCATCATACGATACGCATACGATGTAAATCCTTCTACAAAACCAGAGTTACTTTCAGCCATCACATTTGAGTCAGATAACTCTTCCCAAGTAAGCACTGCCTCAATTGGCTTTACTGAGTGTTGACTGTAGGCTGTTTATTTGGAAGGCAACACAGCAAAGAGGGAGAGATGGCAGGCAGTTAGAGGAGGGGGGTCTGGGTTCTTCCCAGCGTACAGCCTCAGTTTCTCTGTAATCAGCCCATCACTGGGTGTGTCTGCATAGCTCCCACCACTAATTTCATTGCTCTTTAGGCCATGTAAGAGTGAGCCAAACCACAGCGTGGAGGAAACTCCACTCCAGTCTGCTGCATGCTGATGATAGAGATTGGCTCATAGAAAAGGAATGAGCAGAAAACGGGGGACGTATAGAGAAATATGAAATCTTGCTGTAGCAACAAGGTGTAAGCAAAGCACACAGAGTTTTCTGCACAGAAAAGATGTGTTACTAGCTTTGAGTAAGGCATTCAAACCACAACGTGGCTCATGTTTCAGTGATGTTTGTACAGTGCAGCTTCCAGGTGTGACTGTGTGCAGCAGGGTCTGAATATTATCAAAGCAACAAAATAACTGTAAACACCGTCATACCGTTGGCAGCAGCAGAACACAGAGTGTTTGTGGGGGAGGTCTGTCTGACTACTTTCTTCTGCAACAAAAACATCTTTCTGCACTCTGAGGAACTTCTGCAGGTCCGTCAATGGGAATCCTTCCTTTTGGTAGTTCTGTTGGTGCAAACAAAGAAATGCAACAGTGATAACAAAAAATACTCGACTTTAGAGATCAAGACTAATTCAACAGTGGATAATCTAGACGTCTTCTTGAAGGACAACAGAACAAACTTAAAACTACTACTTAAAGGAGCCCTTAGAGTACATACATGTCACCAAAATTTGCTTGCCATCATTCCTTAATCATTAGCATGACCTAATAGCTGCCAAGTTTGCATTAGGGCTGTAACAGTTATTTCATTATTTAGTGATCTGCCGATTCCCTTTTGATTAGTTCATTAATTCTTTTGTCTATAAAATAAATTAATGACAATTACAATTTCCCCAAAGCAGCATCTAAACATCAGTCCAAAACCCAAAGATATTCAGTTTACTACCATATGACAGACTAGCAGCGGATCACATGTCACATCTGGTTGCTGGAACCAGAGAGTGATTATCAAAATTGTCCCACCCCCCCTGTCTGTCAGTTGACTAATTGATCAATCTACTAATCGTTTCAGCTCTGCATTTGCATTCCTGTAAAGCGGCAATTAGTAGTCACTGATATGTTCATAGCAGCTGTGCCACAGCTTTCACCTCACTAAAATCAAACCACAGATTAAGTACCTTGATGGTCTCGTAGGCGTCTGTGATGAGGGCGATGAAGAGCGAGAGCACCATGTAGATGAACAGGGAGATGAAGGAGTAGAGGTAGGCCCGGCTGAAGAGCCAGACCAAAGTGTTTTTGTCCTTTAGCTGGGCGAAGGTGGTGAACATGTCATCGCCGTTCAACAGGGAAAATAGGCACTCTGCTACACGACTCAGGCCCTCAAACTAGAGAGATGGAAGTGCGGACAGTTAATAGTTAACACAAGGGCAGTGAGTCAACTAATTGATTAATTTAATTATTTCTGATAAAAGTAACAATCCAAAAAGGTTGGGAACCACAAGATGAGGGATGGAGGGAGGCTAAAAACTGGAAAGAGAGTTATTTCAGATTACTAGTATTAATATACAAGACATGAAAAAGTATTCAGGATGTGCGTTCAAGTGAACAACATGTACATCCAGTTTAAATTCTATATTGTGCCTTTATACTGTACATTTTCCAAGCAGCATCTTTGGAATGTAGATAGACTTTCACAAAACAGAAGCATCCTTACAGAGAAAGGATTTACAAAGAAGGAGGAGGTGCAAGAGACTGACAGAAACGTGATGGTTGATAGATGTGGAACGATAAAGACAGAAAGGCAAACAAAGAGACAGATGGCCATGTTCCCCCAGAATGTGATAGTATCTAAAAACAACATCCCACTGCAACAGTATGGATCCAGGGCACAGCACTTGAAGACGTGTGGGATGGCAAGTCCCAGAACATCCTCTGTTTACTCCTAGAGTAAATAGACAGAGGAGCCTGGAAGGGCTGTCAGCACACTAGAGGGGACTCCCCGCACGCCCGCATTGTAAATATCATGACCACGTACCAGTTCACTGTGGCGGTTGACACAGAACTGAAACTGCGCTGCAGGTGAAGCGATTCTCACTTCCACCAACTTGTGAAAATGAAGCTGCAATTAACGTAATACAAATATACTTTTGACTGACCTCATGAGTGTCAGTCAAGTTCTAGTTCATGTATCATGAGTATCCTCAAGTAAGCTGACCTGAGGGTCCCACTTCAAAGAATAAAATAATAATTCAGCCCACGACTTATTTACACCAGTTACTCCTCTTCAGTTTAAGATGACAAACAGATTTCCATTTGGTCAGTGAGACGTCACTTAGCCCGGGGCAGCTGATCTCAGTCTATCTCACATCTGTCTCTCCTACAGTACGAGCACTGCCTTGTTTAGACGCCTACTGCATGTTCGGACATCCGTAAATAATTTATGTTAACGGGCGAGGACCACTAAACACGTTTTTCCTGATGGCACTTTGTGTCCAAGGTGATGGTCCACCATGTCGAAATGTCTCGATTGCAGTTAAAAATATGAAGAAAAAACAAAGAAAAAAAAAACCACACCATTTGACTTTGTGTTTTCAGAGTATAACCCCCCGCCACCACCATGTTATGTTCCGTTTCTTACTGCTTAAAATTACATGTTATCTATTGTAGCCTGTATAGTTTTTGCTGTGATGTGTGAAGTTAATGGCATTAAACTTTGAAAATTGTGGTTATTTCATGGTGATCGATTTAAGATGCTGATCATGTAATCACACAGTCCCCAGTTTGAGTCCTGCAGGGTAGCTTTGTTGGAGGTCAACCTTCCCCAATTCTAACCAGTTATTTCATGTCACGTCTTCACTGTCTAATAGAAGAGGGAAATAACTTTTTTTAAAATTTGGTCTGGACAGAAAGCTGCTCTCATTGAAGGTTGAGCTTGAGTATTCAATTAACCTATACTGACACCTAGTGGTAGAGTAGAGTCTTCAAAAAAAAAAAAAAAAAAAAAAGGAGGCCAATGACCTGAAGGTTCTCCTGGACAAGGAAGCCAAAAAAGGTAATTTTGGGGTAGTTCTCTCACTTAGCAGGACTTAATGTTGAAACAGCAACTCAAAAGTTAACTGTCCAGTTGCAGTGAAACAATTTTGAGAAAACCTAAGGATCATAGAATTCATCACCTGCAAAAGGAGTTATTTATTTAAAAAAAACTAAACAACCCACCACCCACACCCCCCAGGGCAGACCTGGTACAGAACACCTATATTCATTAACACTTTGTACACAGTAAATGTAATATTCATCCAATAGGATATATCCCCACACTTAATCTAAAACATCTAAATGATTACCATACATACGAGTCAGCCGGCATAGTTTGTGTTCAACCAAAGCATGATGTTTCAGCCAATTTAAAGATGTACACACATACACATTTGGGCAATCCCAAATGCAACCTTATTCTAGTGGTCTCAGCAGTTCTGCAGGAATAAACAGGGGTCAAGTCTCTGAAAAGAACCTAGATAGTTCCTCTATCCCCCCCCCCCCATCCCTGTGAAGAAGAACCAGTGCAGTGATTCAGACCTGCAATTGACCCATCATAAACTCACTTCTCTAATCTCTGACCCTCAGCATCCTCTGCTCTCTTCAAACCAGTTAAGAGAGTTACCTTCTCATGGTATGGCCCCAGTACAATCCACCCACAGAAGGTGTAGCCGAGGTAGATCATGCCTGCACAGCAGCAGAAACGCAGGACCTTGGGGAAGGCCGCTTTCATGGTTAAAATCAACACCTACAAACACGAGAAGTATGGAGGCATGAAGTAACTTATTGTTAAACCACAACATGAAAGAATAGTTCAAGATATTTGATTTTAAAACCTGCAATCCGACTTTATGCATCTTAAATTTCCAACTAAAACGTAAAAAGTTAAATGTCACAATTATTCTAATATACTGAGCATCCACTGTAGTTAGTAGCACTGGCTTAAATTTTTCTCTGCACACAGTTGATTAATGTTGCTCATCCAGAGATTTAAATACATTTTACTACAAGAGACCTTACAGGATTCCCCCGAAACTGGCTTGATAGTCATCTTGAGTGCAGGGAAAGACCCTGTACAATGAGGGACAACGGGTTACGAGACTCACGTTGTATTTCTGGAAGTATCCCAGATACCTGATCACACCGACCCACACCATTAATGTAGACGTTCCCAGGAAGATACTGCACACATCGTAACTGGTTAGGCTCTACAGGAGAGAAGGAGAAAAGAAAAAAAAAGTGCATCAAGTTGGTTTAAATCTTAAAGCTACTCAACTGTAAGTATGACTTTATTGTAACCGGTGGTAAACTGTGCCATGATCTGTGTGGATTTTCTTATTTTATTAGGGCTTAAAGTACAATGAGGAACTGCATCAGAGGAGCATCCTATCAATTGTTAACCAATTAGGTGATCCAGTTCCAGGAATCTGGTATTGTGCATGCTCACTCGCAAATGCTGTTTACTGGAATACTTGAAGCCATTGTTAATGTTATCATTTACACCTGTGCTTTTACAAGTTAAGTTGTCTGCCATGAAAAATGTCTAATCAAGAATGGCATTTCCAAATCAAGGTAAAAAATTATCCTTAACAGGAAGTTAACAACTCACAAGAGAAGACGAGCAGTGCTTTCCTCTAAAAAAAAAAAAAAAAAAAAAAAAACAAAAAAAAACCAAAAGAAGAGCCTTGGTCGGGGAGGAGGGGGCATTGTGTATAAGGGAAACATTTATTCTATTTCTGTCAAGTTTGTTTTAAACACTTATCGTGGTGGCTATAAAAAAGGACACAGGACAAAAGGTTAAAATAAACACATCTTTACAGGGTTGAGCCTTTTCACTCCAAAGTCCACCGGCACTGAGACACTCCTAGAATTTTATTTCTCAGTTGCTTAATATATAACGAGATGTAAACTCGAAAAGTGATGCCATGCAGTTAGGGCCACATAATCGCGATACTGACTGCTAAAAAAAAAAAAAAAAAAAAACACTTTGTTTACAGCGTGGGGAGAGGTAGATTCATACATACACGTTACACAAGGGGTTTTTTTTGCCTCTCCTTTCACATTTGCCATGTAGTAACCCAAGGCATCTTCTCTCTAAAAACAGTGGTACACCATTGATTTACCTTTGCTTGTATTTCCATCTTTAGTATGGATCCAATTATGGCCAGGAGGTCGCTGACAATAACCAGCACATACCAGCCATTCAGGAACTCCCCCTGGTCATCCTCACACACCTTACGATTGTAGTTCTCATGCAAGAATCTGGAGAATCTCTAAACAAAAAAAAACACAGACACCACACCAATGCAAGTGTCCACAACACAATATCAGATCAATTGATGACTAAATGTAAATTCTATATTGATATCCTCATCATAGCAGCAACACAATGCCTGCAGTTTGTGTACCAAATATTTTTTTTGTGTGTGTTGTGTTATTTTTTTTTTTCACTCTCTCTCTCTCACACACACACACACACACACACACACCTCTCTCTCTCAAAACGCAGATCTAAGACTAAATACAGGAAAGACTGAGTCCCTGTATGATACTGTACAGTGTGAGCAGTGACTGAACAGCTGACCTGGAGCAACCTGACAGCCAGTACGATGGAGCGAGTGCACAGCACGGCTGACGTGAGGCAAACAAGAATGACGAAGCCATCAAACACCAGAAGATAGTGTGTGTTCTTCTGAGCTGAAACAGAAACAAAGTGTGGGGGTGTGTTTATCTCTTAAATAACTGCCCTCACGCTAATTACTGATAAGTGTACAGGAAAACACCTCCGTAACAGTAAAAAGGCATCTGCATTTTTGGGCCAAATGGTATAGTTTAGTAAAGTTTATCTGTTTAAAACTACACAAGATGTGGGATTTAGTTAACATGCGGTACAAAAAAACAAAACCTTATCACTGTGGTATGTAAACATTTGTAAATACTTCTTGGCAGTTATAACATTTTCTAAATTTAGTGACAGGACACACACTTATTGCTCTGTTAACTTTTCCTCATGTAGGTGCTTTATAGTACTTCAGCACAAGACAAATAAAAATATACTTTTGACACTTGAAACTTTATAACAATACGTAAATATTATAAATATGCATTTGTATGTTAACCTCTGTCCCTCTAGAATAGCCACAATGTACAAACATCTATTAATCCCATAAATCTGTCATGTTTTATTTTATGTTTATTATTCTCTCCCCGCCCCCTCCCTTACTTTCTCTCAGGTAGACAACTACACCTTACCCGTCCCAGATATCTTCCAGTCTCGGCATGCATAGCTCTGAGCATCGATGTCCAGGAGAATTTTCACTTTTCCACTGTGACATTGGTTGTCAAATGTTATCTAGGGACAAGACGAAGGCAAAGTAGAACAGTAAAACAATCAGAAAAGTAGTTGTATCATCATGAAATTCAGTGGTCACAAGGCTTCAACACGGTTTAAAATCGGTTTGTACAAAAGTGAACCATACCGTAACGTAGAACGAGTAGCAGTCGGGTAACTCCCGTGAACTCACTGTCTGAAGGTTGATTCCTTTCAGCTGGAAAGTTAATTTGATGTCAACTAGCCTGAAAGCAAAAATGAATGTACATTAGATAACGACTAATTGATGTGCGTTAGCTGCAGCCATATGCAGTAAAGTGATTGGTGATGTATACCTGTAAAAGTCCAGATCAAAAAAGGATGAATTCTGGGTTTTCCACTGGTTTGCAGTCTTTGGTTCATGTGACATGCAAACTGAGAGCAGGGATGCAAATGCAGTGAGAAAATAGACACTGACACTCACATGTTTCTACAATTATCCAATGAGAAAACCAACCACCACCATCCATAAAAAAAATAAATAAATAAAAAAAAAACACCATCTCTTAAAGTAACTTTTGATTGGCCTTCAAATTACTGGTTGACTTGTAATATTGTTTCTATAATACTGGTGATTTAGTCATTCAGGTTCTACCATTACAATGATTGTAAACAGAATTCTTGAATGCATTGTGCGTCTATAATTTTTTGGTTGTTTTAAACATGCAAATCGGAAACACCCAATCAGGTTTGCAGTTCGTCATGTACTGTGACAACAATTTTGCAATTGTGATTGAGATCTTGGCAGCCTAAATAAGCAGTCAGTGAGTTCACTGGTAAGCTGATCATTTTACAAAAACATTAAAAAAAAAAATTTCCTCTCACCCGTCTCCAGCTGAGCGTCAATGTCATAGGCCTCGTTTGAGGGCTCCACGCTGCCTCTCTTGTAGTACTCTTTACAGATGGTGAGAGGCAGCAGCTTGCCTTCTTCATCCTCAGCATAACTGATGGCCCCCACGGAAAGCCGGTCCAACTGGCTGTACTATAAATACCAAGTACCTCAGGTAAAACATTTTACATAATATTGATGAGATGCTGCAAACTGCATTGACACACACATACACACAAAACACAAAACACAAACTGGGAAAACATTAAGTGACGTAGCAGTTTCCAGATAAATATGGAATATTTTAAATTCCATCAAGTATGTTTAAATGAACATTAGCGTCCCAGTTTTAAGTATCATCCTGGTTTGGCATTTACATGGAACATGAGAAACATGAGAAACATGGTTTATATCCCCATTTACATGATCATAAACAGTATGTCTTGATTCCGCAAGGATAAGGATGTATCCATGTTTTCTGAGACCGTGACAAATGTTTACATGTGTTATACATAACCAGGATACTTCCCCCACCAATCTCCACCATCCATCCCATATGTCATGAACACCACATTACAATGGTTACTTTTCTTATTTTACCCAGTAGTGGTAAAAGGGGGGTGTTAAGTGTGTAAGGGGTTGAACTTGCCTGATCCAGGACATAAAACAGACTTTCATAGACACCATGTTGCGTGTAGACAGCAACACTGTAGTCGTCCTCATCCACCCCACTGTAGTCCTTCAGGAAAAGGTTTTTGAGGGCCATCATGTTCTCCTCCTTGTAGGACACCACTAGCTGGTTGTTGAGGCCGAACAGGATGAGCTACGGAGAAAACAGGGGACATTTATTTTTCCAAGTTGATGCTTGCAGCAATAATCAAGAGTGAAGGTAACTAAGATTTATTCTTGTTTAGTGTTCTACTTTTTTTTTTAAAATAATTTGCTTAAGCTATTTATCACTTTATTTTGTAATTTCCAATTTCAAAATTTACAATATTGTTTAGGACTTTGCCCATTTTAAAGATCACATACAACCACGGACTTGAAGTAGTCATTTTACTTCATGAGCAAAATATCAATGAAGTTATTGAGTCGTTTCCGTTTTGTTTTTGCAGCACTTTGTCCCACTACCAGAATAATTTGTTTGTGCAACTTAACTCCAGATTCCTTCATTATCAGCTTTACCAGCCAGCAGCAAGATGAGCAAGTTTCAGATATAAGGGTGGAGTTCACTTATTTCATCATCTTCCATTTGAAAACACTAAGTAGGACCCTGTGTGTCTCCCCACTGTGAGGCTCAAAGTTGTCATAATAACACTAACTCATATACATTTACTGCACTAGACTACATGCCTTAGACAGAATACACTTCCATGAGGCATTTTTCTGGGTGGACCTTCTTGCCAGGTCATTTTACTAATCTACACGATTAAATCTTACTTGTGTGGTGATCATGGCAATTTTCAGGATCTGCACCCCAAGCTTCCAGGGTATGTGTCGTCGGGCCCGGTACTTCTCACACGGGCTCATGAAGTAATACCTCAGGTCATCTCTCAGGTTCTCATCTTTGACAATATCTTGAGTCATGACAGAGCTGAAACCAACAAAAAGTTACAACAAAACGTGATATCATACAAGAACTGAGAGACTAAATGCGAAACATTTTCCATTTCACTGAGTAGTTGCTCTCCTAGTATGAAGAGACCAGAATGCATCACTCAGGATTGGGGGGGGGAAACAGAAGTGAACCTGCAGAGAAAGCAATTATTTCATGAGAATTTACTTGAGCAATAGTTGTGTTTTTCAGTGCACCAGAATGGTCATCTTTCACAGGAAGAACCCCATGTACTGAGTACACTGCATGCATTCATGGTGCTGCCTGGGTTTAAGTCCAAGGTTAGCTCAGTGAGTGCACTTTCAATATTTTCTTAACAGTATGTCGCCCACAGGCTCTCCCTGACATAGTATTCACATTTACTGTTGTTGGAAATTAATCATAAGGAGTGTGGTTAAATTACACATTTTATTTTCAGCTTAATGTGCATAACTGTGCTAACTGTGCAATGTTGCATTAAGTTTCCTACTGGCCCTGTCGTGGAAGGGTTACATGACTGGTGCAATTTTAATGTAAGACAACACCATTATCTAAATAAGCTTCAGGTTCATTTTGGCCGCTAACGGGTTACACATTATTATTTCAGAAACATACTTCACCCCCCTTTTTAAAAAAACTATTTCACATTTTAGAAACATTCCGAAAACATTTCCCAAAGCTACTTTTGAACGGCAGTCATTAAATGAAAAAAAAAACCTTACCTTATAGAATTTCTCCTGTCAAGATATCGAACCAATAATTCCATGATTGATCATCCACGTGGACGCACTAGTTAATCGTGCTTGTCAAAAGGCTTCGAGACAGACAAACATTCACAACAGAGACGCCAGTTTAGCTGGGTTTTCTGTCACCACGCACCTTCCAGTCAGCCAATCAGGAAATGAGTTTCAGGCGGTGCGCAGGTTCCCAAACTACGGCCCCGGGGGCAACCAGGGGTCGCCGAGAGGATACAAACGGATCCGCGGAAAAAAGATAATAGTCTATAAGAAACTTTATCTCTATTGCTCTTTTCAATCATTGTTGAGATTACAAGAGAATGACTCAATAAACTCAGAAAATATTGACCTGACACAAAAAATTTATTCTCTTTCCTGATTGTTATTATTTTGCTTTTTATATTTTATTTATTTGAGGATTTTTCTGATGGGGAAATGCTTTAATTTTGTTTACCCAAAGTGATGTTTAGTTTAAATAAAAAAAATACCGAAATCAGTCTGCAATATATCCACCAAGGGCTTGTTTGTAAATTGTGGAATGTAAACTCCCCCAAGTTAGAAAAGATTCCCAGATCCACAAAATACCAAGGAAACGGTCACCCTTCTGCAAAGTAAAAGAACAAAAAAACACAAGAGCATTCATTTTCTAATTAAATTTAAAACCTTCATGATAATTAATTCCCTCAGTAACAGAACAAATTATCCCTTTCTTACACAAATCATCCTGGTCAGCAGATGGCCAGCAGAGCCCACAAGGGCTATTTCTTGTTGACTCTGCCTATGTGTGCCTCTATGCCTTTGTGTGCACACATGTGGCTGTGCAATGTAGTGCCAAATTAACACTGAAAGTTGTCACTGACTGTCTAAATAGCACACTTGGATTTAATACGGTTTTAATTTTGGTATGAGATTTGTGGATATTCTTTGGGTTGTGACTGTGAAAAATGCAGTAATATTAGACATCACACCCTTTTTAAAGGGTTTCATATATGCTGTGTCCTACTGGTGTTCACAGGGGTGTGCTGACACATGAGTGTGAAAGATCAGGTGAGAGGAAAATGTATTCTGCATGAATCCAAAAGCTACTATACTATACTTTCATGATATCTGCTGCAGCTTTGCTACAAGGAATAAGGTATCCAAGATCCAATGTAACACGTGTCCCAATGCAAATAATCAGGATGGATGTTTGATTTTATTAATCCCAAAAATGCCTCATTCTAAAGTAAGTAGTTTTCATCCCAATTAAAAAAACAAAATTACAAATTTATTTTTCACCTTCAAAAAGAATTTCAATTCACCATGATTCCTGTCCACGAGTAAGACACACAAACACCAGATCAAGTAAATAATGTTTTTATCCATTTACGGTTTCCCTGAGATCCTGTTTAATCTGGCTGCTGTGTGGTTTATTGAATATTTTGCTCTAACTGAGGAAACCGCTGAAGTGGAGCTGCAATCATGAAATATTGAGCAGAGTCACCAAACAGTATTAGTGACTCTGCTCAGGGAAAGGCACATTCAGTTGCCTGCACAGCAGACCAAGTCAGATGGCAACACTGCGGTGGTTCCTTGGGTAAACTTCAAAATGCTGTACATCCACATTAAAACAATCACCATCTGTAAATCAGTTAGTCAAGGACATTAACTCTCCACAGTCCAGCAAAAAGCACTAAACATTGATAGCACTAATCTTCCTGTTTTGACTGACGTACGTAGAAGCGGTCTACTCCACTGATATGAAGGACCTCTGACAGTTTCAACTTGTGTCAGTGAGACAGACGAGTCCCTGTCTTCTGCTGACGCTTGCTGGTCCTGCAGTAACAAATATAATACACAAAATGCTTAACACAAAGTCAATAATATTTAGATATATTTCAACAAATAAAATTACCATTGCAAGTCAAATAAAGTAATTTAAATAAATGACATTTATTTAGAGATTGCTGGCTTGAATTACATTTCACTGCATTATAGAAAGAACTAAACATTTACACACACCAAATTTACTCAGAGTGGAATTCAACCTCTTTAAAGCCAAATATTTAATCAAAGATTAAGTAAATGAGATTTTGGAGATGTTTCGGACATCAAGTTCACGCACAAGCATGTCATCCCGGTTAAAATCAACTGCTCTAAGAACTAGTTTTATTAATATATACGTAAAAAAATTTTAATTTAAACTTTAACCAGGTAGGCCGATTGAGAACAGTTTCTCATTTGCAACCGCGACCTGGCCAAGAAAGTGTAGACGTGCAGATCAACATATAGTTACACATTGAATACACAGCATAAATTACAAAAATACGTAAAACAGTAATGAATCTGTAGACGAATATTTGAAAGTGCAGTAGCATCTATGTACATTTAGTGCAGGTGCCGACCATTCAAGGAGGTAGGTCAGATTGTATGCGTAAATGGTATGGCAACAATAAAAATCACGATATACGATCTTGAAAATATAGTCTATATACACAGGTGCTGGTCACATAATTAGGATATCAAAAAGTTGATTTCAGTAATTCCATTCAAAAAGTGAAACCTGTATAATGTATACATTCATTCCACACAGACTGATATATTTCAATTGTTCATTCCTTTTAATTTTGATGATTATAACTGACAACTAATGAAAACCCCAAAATCACTATCTCAGAAAATTAGAATATTGTGAAAAGTTTCAATATTGAAGACACCTGGTGCCACACTCTAATCAGCTAATTAACTCAAAACACCTGCAAAGGCCTTTAAATGGTCTCAGTCTAATTCTGTAGGCTACACAATCATGGGGAAGACTGCTGACTTGACAGCTGTCCAAAAGACGACCACTGACACCTTGCACAAGGAGGGCAAGACACAAAAGGTCATTGCTAAAGAAGCTGGCTGTTCAGAGCTCTGTGTCCAAGCACATTAATAGAGAGGCGAAGGGAAGGAAAAGATGTGGTAGGAAAAAAAAGTGTACAAGCAATAGGGATAACCACACCCTGGAGGGGATTGTGAAACAAAATTCATTCAAAAATGTGGGAGAGATTCACAAAGAGTAGACTGCAGCTGGAGTCAGTGCTTCAAGAACCACCACGCACAGACGTATGCAAGACATAGGTTTCAGCTGTCACATTCCTTGTGTCAAGCCACTCTTGAACAAGACACAGCGTCAGAAGAGTCTCGCCTGGGCTAAATACAAAAAGGACTGGTGTTGTGAATTTTTACACGACATTACTGGACTACTGCAGAGTGGTCTAAAGTTATGTTCTCTGATGAAAGTAAATTTTGCATTTCCTTTGGAAATCAAGGTCCCAGAGTCTGGAGGAAAAGAAGAGAGGCACAGAATCCACATTGCTTGAAGTCCAGTGTAAAGTTTCCACAGTCAGTGATGGTTTGGGGTGCCATGTCATCTGCTGGTGTTGGTCCACTGTGTATTGAGGTCCAAGCAGCCGTCTACCAGGGAGTTTTAGAGCACTTCATGCTTCCTGCTGCTGACCAACTTTATGGAGATGCAAATTTCATTTTCCAACAGAACTTGGCACCTGCACACAGTGCCAAAGCTACCAGTACCTGGTTTAAGGACCATGGTATCCCTGTTCTTAATTGGCCAGCAAACTCTTTGGGGTATTGTGAAGAGGAAGATGCAATACACCAGACCCAACAATGCAGAAGAGCTGAAGGCCACTATCAGAGCAACCTGGGCTCTCATAACACCTGAGCAGTGCCACAGACTGATCGACTCCATGCCACGCCGCACTGCTGCAGTAATTCAGGCAAAAGGAGCCCCAACTAAGTATTGAGTGCTGTACATGCTCACACTTTTCAGTTAGCAAACATTTCTAAAAATCCTTTTTTGTATTGGTCTTAATATTCAAATTTTCAGAGATACTGAATTTGGGATTTTCATTAGTTTTAATCACCACAATTAAATGAAATACACATTTGAAATCTATCAGTCTGTGTGTAATGAATATAATATCCAAGTTTCACTTTTTGAATGGAATTACTGAAATAAATCAACTTTTTGATGATATTCTAATTAAATGATCAGCACCTGTATAAATAAAAAGTACAGAGATCTATAAACATTGTGTAAGTTGAGTTCTGAATTACTGAGGTAGATCAGGTGGTGTGCAAAACCGTATGGCAGTAGCGGTGGGAAGAATGACATTTGAGCATACTTGTGCAGATGGAATGGATCAAAAGGGCATAAAACAGATGAGGCAGCAACTAGAAAGGGACATGACAGAGCAATTTTAGTAATTGTGTGCAAAAGTGAGTGGTGAAGGAGACCTACCATATATGTTGGCGCACATTTAAGTTGTTTTGCACGCGTGTTTCAGGCGTGCTGTTTCCTTTGGCTTAAAATAATAAATAAAATAAAATAATAAACTTTCAAAAGTCTGAACTTAACGTCGGATATGCCAATCCATTTATTAACATAACAAAAAATAAAACATTTATTCAATAATAACTTAACTCAAGTCAGTCTCCATAATTACACGCCGTGCCTCACGGTCAAAAACCATGCACCTCGCAGTGCGCCACACCTGCACTAATTACCCAATGTCTTAAGTAGACTTGTGGCTGCACACAGCGCCAACCCATGGCTATACACAGAATGGCTCCAACACAACCGGCCCCTAATTGTTCATGGCAATACAAGACATAACAATTATAAACATATACACGTATGGAGACATAAATGCAACAAAAACATCTTACAATAAAAACAACAAACAAATAAACGAACAAATAAACCCCTATTTGGTGTGTTTGTTCACTTTTACATTGACTGTTCTACCAATAGGCCTAATTTTGTCACTGGTCTCTCAATTATGTTTGTTTTGGTTTTGATTTGCACAGATCTAACTATGCCCGATTTGTCCGGAAAAGATTTAATAATTCTTCCAATCATCCAAGAATTTCGTGGTGCAGTAGCATCCGCAACCAAAACGATATCTCCTACTGTAAGATTACGTTTTGTTTTGTTCCACTTTTGTCTCTCCTGTAGAGTAACGAGATACTCTTTTGTCCACCTTTTCCAGAATAAATCTGAAAGATACTGAGCCTGTTTCCATCTTCGTCTTACGTACTGGTCTCTTTGATCAAACAGGCCTGGAGGCAAAATTGGTTTCCTTTTCAAAGTAAGAAGAT